GATACTGCGGTCCGGCGGTCGGTGGGTCCGCCTGGTCCGGCCGGCACTTGGTAGACAGTGACCAATGATAGCGGCGGAACCGTGCTAGGAACGGAAAAGCTTGAAATCTCCCTTGTGGACGTACCAGATTAGCGTGCCGGTAACCAAGACGGGACAGCGACTACTCATGAGTCTTGGCCCGATTGCGGGCCGGCGCTTGATGCTTTTCGGCCCCCTGGGCAATTCGTTGCCGGCCCACCGCAGGCTCGAACTGAGAGGCGTCAATTTGACAAATCGCAGTGATGGTTTCTTTCGGTGTAGCCCAGAGGGCGAAGAAATAGTGTACATGTGATTGGACGGATTTATCTACAGGACCTCACCTAACGATCAAGCGTTCAATTCCTAGCAATATATCAGCGTCAATACATAAGATTATTTATCTATCAACTTTTTATCTAGATGGCTAATCTCAATGTATATTTGAAGTTGTATTGCTAAGAATCAACATTAATCGTGTCAACGGGAGGGGAGGAAGGGGGCCTCCTACCCATATGCTACAGGGCGTGCTCCAGAAGAAGTCACAGCCGGGCTGACTAAGTCATAAGCAAAACTCCCCCTCCACTCGTGATCAGTGGGGTTCGCTAGAGAAGTTGACTACGGGCTAAGTCAGGGCCCCGGCTGCTTGCTGAAGGCTTGTAGTGCTTGATCATGTGACGCCACGTCGTTGAAGAGCTGTAGGAAAGGATATGTAGAGGCACAACATGCAATCGAAATTGTGCGCGCATATTACAGCCAGACCACATATAGTCCCGTCCATGACTCAGTTCTGAACACGCCTTGATCCCACTGCACGAACCGTTAAAAACTCCTCGAGGGTCCATATTGGCTATTTTCTTGGCCCGCCTTTTTCGAGGAGAAAAGGTACCCATTCAGTGGAAGACATGTGAACCGCCTGTTGAATGGTGTTCAGTGGTTGGCTCGACTTTAAAGATAAGTGTGTTCGATCAGTGATGACTCTGATTCGGCGTCTATGTCTGTGAAAGTTGTGTGCGAATTGCAATGGCCGCGAGTAAACTTTGGTTTCAGTGCTTGATCAATGATCAAAGGAATGCGCTTGTCCCACTGTGGTTGCGAGCGACCGAGCAAATATGTAAGAAAGGCTGACGTATCTAGTGAACAAAGATGTAACAGGACGTGCGTTAATGTTAACGAGTTCGGTTTCAATCGAAGTTTTTAGTATTGTTCGCGCATCCGTGTAGGCCGCACAGACTAGGATAAAATGTACCTCATCTTCGATTTGACCATGCGTGCAGCATGTGCAGATGCGTAGCGTCATGTATGTGGGCCCGTGTGTGTTCTCATGATATGTGCGTGCTCGAAGTCCGAAAGATCTTGAACGAAGTGCAAATTTGTGTCTTGAGTAGGTTCGATCGCCACTAAGATATTGTTCGAATCCAAACTGTTGTTTGATGGCCAAATAAAACCGCCCAGTAGGTTTTGCAGCTGCTGAAGTTTGAAGTTTTTGCCAGTCAACCATGATGGCCCGCTTGTACGTCAGTTTTGACCAAGTGTTTGTGGCGGACAGTCTCACTACGTCGTCAATACTGTTCCAATAGTTGTCGAGTGAGAGGTAGTGAAGAGCCTGATGCGCATAGTGGCACCAACTGTTCAAAATTGAGACAGCTTGAGGATTGTGTGCCTTCTCGGTGTTATAGGTATGTCGAGCAGCAAGAAAAACGGTTCCAGTGAGACGATTTGTTTCAGAGTGGTTGCATAAGCGTTCAAAGAATCGTGTTTTTGCCAGGACTTGTTGTGATTCGATTGAAAGCCATCCTAGGTCTCCAAGAAGGGCTTCGACACTCACGTTTGTGTTTCCTTTACGGCCAAAAATATTGCGTGCGCCCTTCGAAAGAACGGTTTCGAGGTCTTTCAATTGTGCCACGTTCGGTGACCAAATTTCAGCGCCGTATAAAAGTTGTGTGCCAACATACGTTTTCCAAAGTCGAGCGCTGTATCCGATTTGCAGTCCATCGTCTCCAACTCCCGAGTGAAGCAGCTGCCCCATAGACTGTTGTGCCTTCTTTGTGTTATTTGTTATTACCTCATCCCATCCCCCTTTGTTCTCATAATGAATTCCCAGATATTTGTATGATTGCCTCATGTCAATATTCATGCCCGCCATTGTCCAAACCTGGTCCTGTGAGACCAATGTTCTGCGAGGGCCATAGATTACGACGTGTGTTTTTTGTTGGCTGATTTCGAAGCGCCATTTTCTGCAAAATAGTGAAGTGTGCAGCATCATAGCTCTTAATTGTTCTGTGCTTTCTGCGATTAAAACCAAGTCGTCAGCATAGAGGAGGCATGGAACAAGCATTCCATCGTAGTGAATCCCAAAACCTCGTGCTTTGAGTTCCTCAACCAGAGGCGAGATAATAATAGAAAATAGAAAGGGTGAAAGGACTGCCTCTTGCCGTGTGCCGTTATCAATTTGATACCAGTCCGTGAGTCCATAGGGTGTAATAAGTGTTGACTGAATGTCTGCATAAGGTGACTGAATTACTCGAAAAAGTTTGCCTTGTATGCCTGCTTCTTGAGGTCGATACCAAATGGCAGCTCTCCATGCGCTTGGGAACGCGTTTTCAAAATCGACGTAGCATGTATATGTGTTGAAGGGCAGTAAGCTAATGCAAAATATGTGTCGTTAATGTTCCCTTTACCACTCAGTTTGAGCCACATGACTTCGTGTTCTTTATCGTTGAGTGCAACAGAGAATAATGTTTTGAGGGAATTCCGTATAAGAAAGCCAATCCCTTCAAGTTTGGTGGATCGGTCAAAATGTGTGCCGCGCCTCGAATCCTCTGACCAAACCGTATGTGTACCCAGGAACTGTGAGGCTTCAGCAGATAAGACTTTTTGCAAACCATGATTGATCCGCGAGGCTTGCGATCATTCTCTCACGGCAGCGTGTCAATTTGTAACTTAAACACCAGCAGGCGCGCGATACGTGCAACTGCCAGTGCAGCAGGCGCCGGTCAGGCCGGCCGCGCGCCTAGGCGGCCGCTTCGATTGAAAGCCCGCCGAGGGTTTACGAAATGCGCGCGAAGTGCTCGCGGAGGGAGTCCGATTTGAGAAGGTTGGATCGACGGTTTAGATCAGGCCTTACGATATTCAACGGTTGCATTCACCATAGCATATTGCTAGCGGTCCAAATATGTTCTTGATCATGACACAAAAATTCGACGAGAAAGCAATTCTTCCCTCTATGCATTATTATTGTCGGGTCGTACGATGTCTCCATATGTTTGAAGCTTCCATCATATTCCCTCGAAAAATGCAGTGTCCAGCTGATCCAGGAAGGAGTCAGGCTCAGGGCGGCCTTGCGCAGCACTTCGCGCTTCCTTTTGGCATTGCTTGCAGATGCTTCTTTGCGCACGCCAGTATTCTCCTCATTCAGTGCTGCAGCCTACCTCTTTCTTTAGCAGGTCTATGCTGGTTGTGAGCACTTCTGCTGCATTTTCAATCAACTTGGAGTTTTCATTCTGCGGATCACTCTTTCCTTAGGTCCATTGTAGCTGTTGGGTCTTGCAGCTGGTGTCGCGATGTCAGAAAAGCGTCCCCTCCAACCTCTCGTAGATAGTAGTGCGCTTGCTGCTCGGTCTAGGAACATGGGGCCGGTCAAAAAGTCCTTGTTTGCTTGCAAGAGGATGCCCCCCCAGCCGGGTGTCAATGACGAGAACAGGGACGTGTCGGATGGACTTGATGCGACGGGCTTTCTGAGGGTTGCAAACTGTGCCCCAGGGCCAGAGGCAATTGAGATTGAGTATGTGAGGACAGAGGATCTAGCGGACACAGTTGATGCGGAGGCAGATGGAAGGGTAAGTCTGAATGTATCCGTGGGAGTCGTTCTGGTCAATCAAGCGTGTGATGGGGCGTCCCTCTAGTTGAAGCCTTTACACTTCAAGCTGCTGAGATCTAGATTCCATTCCTCATCATATAGTTCTGACTTACTCGTCTGCTTCCTTGTTGCTGCGCAGCGTTCTTTTAGCATGAATCCACACATTTGGCCCACGCCGTCCTTCAAGTTGTCAAACCGTTACTTTCTGGTGGCGGTTCTGGCGAAACATACTTTCAAAAAGCTCTGAGCACTTCCTTTTTTACGACTTTGGTCTGTCCCTCCAAGGTGATTCTGGTGTAGTTTTTGGAGCATCTTGCTCATCAGAGGAGGGTGCTCGAGTCTTGCAGTGGTCGTAAATAGCCACGGACTGGTCTTATACCTTTATACCTTTTTCAATGCTCAGCAAATTTTCTTGTATCGATGGAAGCTGAGATGAAATATCAAGGACGTTGACAGCCAATTGTTTTAGAGTTGACTGCTGGTCTGGGCCAAGATGCAACGATTTACGCAAGCTTTTGTCTTCTTAGCCCTTCACCATGAAATCTGAATGTACCACTCCTCAGAGTGGTTGAATGAAACCAAATCATGATGCCTCGACCTCACGCAATAAAGCTAGGTATACGAGAAGGGAAACAACAGCAAAAACTCACCAGCGCATGCCCTTATCATTTCTTTGTGGCGCTTGCAAGGGGACTCACTTCGGGGTTGTTTGACACCTCTTGCCAGTTGATACAAATGCAAATTGTGCCTCAGAAAGATACGGTTTGTCTTTTCTTGAACTGGTTAGCATGACTGCTTGACCTTCATTCAATCTCCAGTCCTAGATCAGAGTGGAGGTTTCCACTTTGTGCTGTGCAGCGATGCAACTTGAGATCCTGTGCCAGCTCTTCTCGGGAAAGTTCAGCTTGCTTGATAAGCTATTAGCTTCACCCTGGCATTCTCCAAGAACTCTGAAAGGTTATGATCCATGATTGTTGCAAGGATGAGGTCAAGTTCCTGCTTGCATGGACTAGTAAGCGACGGTGCTAGCATCTTTCATAACAGCTCCTATCTTTGTTACAGACGTTGCTGGACCGCCTCGACTCCAAGGACTGGGTGACAGTATGTCAGGCCTTGAATAACGTGCGCCAATTGTCCCTCTTCCACAGCGTGGCTGCCGAGGTGCACCTGTAAGTCTTCCACTGCCAAACACCGCAGCTTGAGACCTGATCTTGCTGCTGCTGCCTTCCTTCCAGTCACTCAAATCCGATCGAGAGTCTACGTAGTATGTTGGCATCTGACATTCTGGTTGTCATTCCAAAGCACTGGGCTGGTTAGATCTAAAATCCACAGCAGACTGGGGCAAAAGTGGGTGCAAGTTTGGCATAGTGCGTCAGTTCCCAAAGAGGGTCAGCTTTCACCACTTTCTTTCTGAGGTCATCTTGGCAACAAGCAAGCCCTGCAAGGTAATTAGTCAATCAATGGTTTTCCTTCGGGTACTTTGGGGGGGCGCTCTTCCGTTGGCCTGCAGTTGGCTATTGGCTATTCACTCCCACAAGCATAGCAAAATCGATGTCCTGACATCGCAACCATTGGCAGGGTTACGCACCGCATAGAGATTTCCACTGTTCTTTGCATCAAGTTGATTCGACACTGCCTCTGAGCTTACATCTGGTCAACTCCCAGTCACATATTGACCGTGTGCAGCTTCCCAAGCGTCAGACTTTGCTGGCCAGAGAACCTTCTTCTGTCCAGTACTGCGCTGGTGGTTCAACGAAAATCAGCCCCTACCATTTGCAGGAGCATTGTATAATAAAGGCCTCGATGGTTGAGCATCCATCATGTCACAGCATAGACGAGTCGTTCTTTTACATGTCCTCAGCAGCCCCTTGAACCCCCCAGAATAAAGAAAGTTCACCCCGGAATGCCGTGCATGCTTCAGAAGTACGATTTATCTCTGGCGTCATGTTCTCTGCAGGAGCGCCGTCGTCCCCAAGGTGCTCAAGGCTGTCAAGAACCCGCGCAGCGCTCTGCAGAAGACGAGCCTTATGGCGCTGGCAGACATGTTCTTGGCGTTTGGGGACAAGATGCTCGAGTCCCTGGACTCGCTGGTGAGTATTTTGGATCCTCCTTGTTTCTCAGTTCTGGCAGGAACTAGCACTTTGTGGCCAAGCGTTGCTGGGATGCTTGTTGTGTGAGCCACATCAAGAAGCGTCTGTGCTTTCATTTGAAAATTGATTGGAGGGGTCCAGTATTCACCGTGCAGTCTCCTTGAGCCCTGCTGTGGAGTTTTGTGAACGGGTCTGCTTTTGTGGAAACTGCAGAGACTTACGTCTGCTTGGGGATTCCTGAACTGTGCCACTACCACTTGGAAGACGGGTTGCTTTTGCCCGACTTACTAATGTCACCGAACAGGAAGCCGATGTAACAGGAAGCAGCAGCATAATGACTGGCTGCACTCCAGATTGAGGACTCTTATTCAGGAACAGATGCTGCTCGTGTTCTTGCGATCATCGCCACCTCCCCCTCAGTCGCTGGGGTCTAATTTTGAGGAGATTGCGCACATACTTTGCTGCTTAAAAATCGCTTCCCAACCAAACAGCCTTGGGCTTTCCCAACCTACTTCGAAGGCAGCCAGGACATGCAACATGCACATCTTCGCACTTTCGCCCGAAACCTGAAACTTGCAACTCATTACTCACCCGAACTCCTCTATCTACCTATTTTGACGGAGTGAGGAAAACCAAGCATAGAGGACACTTCTCTTACAATCATTGCCAAAAGTCCTGCTGGCCGCTTTGCTCTTGATCATGCCGCCATTCTTACCGGCGTTCTTACCAGCCCTGATCCGTGTCTAGCCACCCTTTTCAAGTCTATACTTGACAGCTGGCCGTTTCCCGCCCCTGTATGCAACTCTTCCAGCTTCGAAGCGGGATAGAAAGTTTGTCCCAAACTGTTTCTTTCTCACAGCGCTCTACCGCCCAGCGCAAACCCGTCACAACCAGCCTATTCGCAGCTCCTAACGAGGCTATTACCTTTGCTGCAGATTCTCCGCTTGTTCCTGAAGGCACCTCAAAGAAGCAATCCCTTGACCGTACTCAGAAACTCTTTCACCAGGTTACCAGCCCCGACGGTCCGGCTTCAACCATTCTGATTTGGCAAGGCTGCATTTGGCAACAGAAGAGGCAACAGATAACAGTAGACGAACGTAGGTTTGCAGAACATGTAGACGCGCGAACCGATTATGGTTCAAGTGATTCAAAGATTCGCTCGGATGCTGATTATATTTGTGTCATCATGCAGATTCTCTAGCCGTTTCTGAAGGTCTCTCGGGACAAGCCAGAGAGCCAGTGGATGAACAACGATAAATAGGAATGATAATTGTACGAGAAGAGAGGCGGACGAACCTCTCTGCTAAACGGTCTCTTCGTCCCTATGCAGCTTCTCCAGCTATTCTTGAAGGCGTCCCAAGACAAGCAGTTTGTGTGCGAGGAGGCGGACCGCACCCTCAGCGCGCTGTCCGCGTCGCTGTCCCCCGCCGCGGTGCTCGAGAAGCTGCTCCCGTACTCGAAGCACAAAAACCCGCGCGTGCGCGCCAAGGCCACCGTCTCCATCCACGACAGCGTTGCACGGCTGGTAAGTGCTCCAACGTTGACTTCTGCGTTATTAGCTTGTTGAGTCCTGGCAAAAGCTGTGGAAGTTGGGCCTGAACGTTCTGTCAGGAATGGCCGTTTCCACTCTTTTTCTTACGAACTTTGTCGTCTAAACTGCCTTTGAACGGGTTCTTTCGCTGTCTAGAGAGTCTGTAAATCTCTTTCATGGCACAGGGTTCCTGTTGCTGTTTTTTACGTTGTCGCCCGACACGAAGTTGTGTCGATGTCGTCTGTATCACTGCCTTTCGCGAACCCTGTTACTCTTCTTTTACCGTTGCCTTCACCACTTTTGAGGGTTAAGATCACATTTTCCATCCCCGACAGCGCTAATCGTCTTCACAGGAGGAAGGTTCCTCCTCCCTTCTATAGCATCCAGTCCGTCATGGTTTGCATCGTTTATGATGAAGTAGAGGAAGCCTGGTGCAATCTGTTGGCATGCACTTCAGGCTTACAGTGAGTTTTGTAGGACACGCTCTTGGCACTTTCGAAACGCTGTCAATGCATGAGCGACGGATGCGTTCTTGTGTAACGAAAACGCAGAGAGAGTCTCAACAACATACGCTCTGTGAGTTCTCGAACGTAGGGTAACAGTAAAAGCGTTCTGCGACGAGAAAGATTGGGTTGTGGTAGTCTTTTCTGGCAAACCGCTCCGGTGAAAGCTTGTGCTCTTCCAGGCGCCTGTAAGCTGCGTGCTTGAGAGAGGTGCTCCAGGTAGTCAATTCAGGTACTAAGTGTCCGGTCACCGTTCACTCGGGGGTCGGACGCCTCCTTTGAGCAAGAGCAAACGGACCTGTCGTCCGGATCTTCGTCGAGTTTTTATGGTTCCGGCTACAACAAATCTGCGACTGCCAGAGGAGATGCATTTTGGATTGCCTGCAAGGAGTCTTTGCGTTGAAGGCTCAACTCTGCTTTTGGTTCGAACCACAGGAACAACTTGTGAATCTTCTGTCGAATGCCCTCGTGACGCACTGGTAAACAGGCCTTTCCGACTCTTTTCGGAGCTACACCGACAGGCTACTTCTTGGTGCTTTTCATGTGGAAACTCGTTTCAAGCTGAGCGTCTGCCTTTTTGTTTTCCGTGTTTTTATGCGTTGTATCTGCATGTTCTCTTCCCTTTTCTGAACCAGATAAAACTAACTCTTACAGGGCCCCGATGGCATCGAAAGCTTTGGCTGGGACCGCCTCGTCCAAGTAACGGCCGGTCAAGTCAGCGACCAACTTCCCGAAGCCAGAGAAGCCGCGCGCAAGCTGATCGGAGAGCTGTACGCCGCTTATGCGTTCTGCTATCAAGCACAGCCGGAGAACACGTTCTATCACACACCGCCCGAACCGAGCCGGAGCGAGCCGGATCCTGACGACATGGAAGGAACGAGCGGAAATGCATTACAGGAAGGGCTTGCTGACGTGGCAAGTCCGGGGACAGGAGAGCCGCAACAGGTGTCGGAGAAAGCGAACGAGGGGGAGACGATCGAGGCGGCGTGGGGACGGTTCTGTTCCAAGTTTTTGTCGCCGTTGGACGTACAAGCCATTCTTAGGGTCTTTAGCTCGCGGCAGTGACTGTCTTATTTTTGCCTGTTTGGAGTCCCGTCGCTACTATATTAGCTTGGTCTCTATTTTAGCAGATCTTGATTCAGAAACGGCACTTTTTTTGTATTTGGCCTGTGACAGAGACTGTCTTGCTTAGCACGTTTGGAAGAGGGTGTAGAGTCATTTTAGGTACTGCCTATTCTTATGATGGTCGTTGTCTAGTTCTAGTCGTTTGCAAGCGCTGACGTCTCGTACACTGAAAGAATAAAGAATGAAAACCAGACTGAGGTTCCTAGTATGCCAGAAAGTTGATCATCTTCCATCCTAGTCCGACTCTTGTGCCCGGCATGCGCCCCGAAGTCGTACAAATACATTAGCTAGGTTTGGCTATATGCATGGCAGCCCATCAGGCCAAAAGATGGTAAGCTATACATAGGGCGGGTCAGCTTGCATCCCACCGATTGCATGTGCATCAAAGATTGCCGCATTGCATGCCAGCTAGGTCGGACAAGATCGCCGCATATGTGGCCCTCTAGACTGTGCCGCGCCGTGACTGGCATGGAGGCCCTGCACAAATTTGACTTGCGGATCGATCAATATGAGACGGCGCGTCCGCCTTGCATGCACTGAGCCTAGGCCCGGCCCGGCTATATTCGGAGCTCTTCCGCGTTTGATTATGTACTTGAGATATCTTGAATGATCTTCAATCATGTGCAATGCCAGATATCCGACAAGTAGAGTATATAGTATTTCTTAAATCCATGGATATACGAGTCTAATACCATATGGATGTTGGCACCGAGTTGCACGCGTTAGCTGAGTCACTGCGGCGGCGCGGGACGCCATCATGTGATGTACTATAGCTGCAGATATAAGTTTCCATGGCGCAGCCGGGAGGTCGCCACAGGCCAAGTGACCGTCCCTCGATACGCGTCCAACGCTGTGCGGGTTCTCGAAGTACCGTCCTGCAATTGAATCAAGGTGTATGAGTTTATACATCACTGGGTAGCCCGCGCGCCGCCGTCGCCTGCCATAGAAATGGGTAAGCCTTCAAAGCCTAGGCTATAACACTAGCATATTGTCACTGCGTTTGAACCGAATAACATGGCCCATGCCATGCTGGCATGCATGGTATGAGGGGCCGGATCGAGCTAGCGTGTAAGAACGGAAAGCTACTGTAGACAGGTTTCTCGACGTCTATCATTGCAAATTATTGAATTGAGCGCCAGACTGATCGTATGATCGGAGTCCGGCTCAGTGGGGCCCAACGAATATGGCGCCGCATGTCTCAATCTGTCTGGAGCGCCGCGAGCTGCTGGCATATGGCGCGCTCGGTGGCTAGAGTGACTAGAGCAAGCCCCTTGAGTCTCGGCGCGCTTGCATGCAAGATGCATGCATCGCCAAACATCAGAACTGGGATGTCCCAGCTAAAAACGCAGGCTGGTTGTCGTACGGAAGTTCGGCCTGGCCGGGGTATCAAATGCATGGCATGCAAATCCGAGAGTCTCCCGCGGCCCGTACTGATTCTGCTATGGACGATTGAAGAACGCCGTGTGCCAGCTGTGCTCGGCGGCTGGCGGTGGCTGACCACAGCAAGTGTCTCAACAGAACGGTATAAACTCAGAGCAACTCAGAAGTCACTAGGATATCGTCATTCCGACATTTAATGATTGGACAGGGTGGTGCAGTATCCCAGCCATGCAGAGGCCCATGCAGTGCGGTGGCAATTGCCGACATTAATGCAGCAAGTGTTACAAAGCTCGAACCAGCACGCGTTTTGCTAAAACGGTCGTCACAGTGCAGCTTCTCATGAGATATGTCCGTTTCTCGGGTTTTTGTTACAGCGCAATCGAGACTTCCGTGACCATCATGCGACGAGCGCCGTATTGTGTATCCTCTGAGCTTCTCGAACTTGTGCGCACCGCCCTCATACTCATCAGATTGGAAACAGCGGGCACGCTTATTCTATGATCTTTCAATGGCGGCTCGTCCTGTAAAGACGTTCGAGACTCGAATCAGCGCAGGCCAGCGCAAGGATTGGGCAGAGAGCTCGCGTTTATAAAGATTCAAAATCTGAAGGTCAACCGTTGAGAGCTTTTTCAATCATGGTCTCTCAGGCGGGGCTCCCCTATAGGCTATGGGGCCCGCCCTCTCTGCGTAAGAGTACTAGGATCTCCAGTACCACGCGAGAGCGTCACGGAACCCGGACCTGTGCAGTAATCACTGTTCGTTGATCTAGCAGTCCGTCGGTGCGCCGTGCGCTTCTGTCCGCAACTGCGATCTGAGATTGGTCCCGATCTCTTTCTTTCCGTAATCCTGAGAGACATTTTCTTCTGGGCACAGACTATTTTGCTAGGTGAAAGAAACCGGGTCGATGTGGAGCAAATTCGACGAAAGCGTCATAAGTCTCCTGACTCTCCTCGTGACCACGTGCACCGATTCCGTTTGTGCGGCTGCCGCTGAGACGCCACGTCTGTCGAAGCGTCTTCTGTCCAGCATCCTCATGGAAGAAGACAGGCAGGAGATCGTCACGATAACTTTTTGCTGAAGTTCTGAACATCGGGAGAAGCGGGAACAAAGGCTGAACAGCTTCAGAGAAGTACGCCTTGCTTTGGGCAGAGGATAAGAGGATACTATGTGACGGGCTATCGTTCAAACAGCCTTCATGGGTTCTGCAGACGGCGCTGTTGAAAATATCGCAAAGCATTTGGAATCATCGTCAGAGCGCGTTCGAAAATATGCAAGGAGGCAAATGAGTTCCGTGTTGCTAACAGTAGGCTTTTAAGATGCCTGTTGCTCCTATTGGAAAGCAGATCTTTGCGTCGCGGATCTCAACGCTCACATTTATTGGGCCCGGTGCCCAGAATGGTTTCTTTGGGTTCGATCCGAGTTTTGTTGCTCGACCAAAGCGTTCCGTGACATACCGAGATTCGGTCCCCCAGAATGACGTGCCGCCTGCTGTTGAATGAAACCAGCCTGCTCCTCCGAAGTCACGAACGTTACGCAATGAAATTTTATTCCTTCTACCTCGGGCCTTGCAGTGTCGTCCTAAGGTCTCGTGCAATCTCACCAGTGTGAGATTTTCTTGCCAGTTCGATTTTGACAGACTTCAGGTCTCTTTCATTCCTTTGCAGAACCTGCCGCCTTTCCGCTTGAAAATACTCTCTCTGGGGTCGAAGGTAAAGTCGGGCGCTTGATCGATTCTCGAGTTTCTACTGGCCATCGGCTCGAACAATTTCGAGGTACGGAGGGGGTGCGACCGTTACGAGATCTGCGGAAGGGGCATCACTGTCGATCAGGCTGTCGAGATCCTTCCTCGAATTCCTGTGTATTGTTACTTTCGAGACGCAGAATGAAAGTCGGACATGCACGTGTACCAAGTCGGATCGAACGGGGATCGAACGACCCCCTTCTCTAGAACGCCCTTCAACTCATTCTCGTTTCTGATCTTCCTAGCTCGGGTCGAACGCCTTGCGCTGACTCAGCAACGTGTCTAACTCACACTAACTCACATGTCAGCAATTCTAGTAGGGAGGTTCGAACGCAGTGGGCTCATAATATGGCAAGAAGCTTTCGACCACTGTATGAGAACTAGAGAACAGCTGTTGCCAAAATACTGCCCACTTGCGCGTTGCTTACGGCGGACCGTTTTTCCATTCACTTGCAGAGATTGAGGGAACGGAGTCGAATTGGTGTCGAATCAGGGCCCCACCGTTCCCCTGACCCCGCAAAGCTGCAATTTGCTGCTTGAAACCCCCTCTCCTCGTAAAGCCAGATACTGGGCGGCTCGAACACGTCTCCAGACCCTGCATTGCTCAGAGGAAACCTTCATCTGGGAAAGCGAGACAATCTGAATACTTGATCTCGGAAAGCGAAGGTTTTTGAAAATCCGCATCGATCCCCAGGGCGCTGGGCAGCCTGCTTGCTCGAGATTCTCAAAATCCTCCCCGTACCTCGGTGCAAAGATCGAGGAAGGAATCGTGGTTCGTTCTTGGCCACATCGATAAAACCGCCTAAACCAGCTTTCGACTGTCTAGAATTCGTCAAGACAAGAGCCTCAACTTGTCCTTGGTTTTAAGGAAGCTGGCGTGTGCCAATTGTGCCTCCGAATGATGCACGCAGGCGCTTGCATGGGTAAGTTTCAACGTACCCATAGCTATTGTTTCGATGTTCTTGGTGCTGACGGACGAGTACGTCGCGACGAAGTTTGAAGGCACACCATACATAAACCCGGAATTGGCCGCTCAACGATAAGACATTTAAGTGGAAAATTGATTCCGTAAGTGCTCCGTCCGTTCACAATACATGAACAAATATATAACCGCACTGGGTAGTCGCTCTCGACAAGGAGCACTGACCCTGCATGGGCTTGTTGTCCTCCTCAAATTTCGAATCCCGAATCTTTTGTAGCGCTATGCCACAGACGGTTTATCAAGTGGCTTTCAACGGATCACCCGATCAGAATCTGAAAGTCCCCTGAAAGTTAATCTTCCGTTCTGAGGACTGTGAACGGGCTCAAGTCATCGAGGTGTCAGCACCTGCCGCACGGTGGCAGTGGTTGAACCCGGAAGATCGAAGGTTGGAGGTGGTGTGTTTCCGAAGTCGACTACAGCGGCGCTGCAATCGGCGGCAGTACGTCGAGTTCACAGGCTGAGAGATACATGAAGTAGACCAAAATGCTTCTGAGCACATGCTGCTAGAGATCAGCACTTGCACATGTTGCACTAGGGAGTCCTTGGTATATGCAGGTGTCATGAACTATTAGTCATGAGCTATAAATATATGTCGACAGTGATGGCGCTAACTCATGCAAAACCAGGCCGCTTCACTTCGTGCAGGCATAGGCTGCGGGCGCAGGGGCCCCATGGGCGTCTCAATCATGCGCTTAGTCGCATGATCGCGTTACTGAAGGAGACCATATATATCAGTCCATTCTCCGCCCGGCAAGTGAATCCCATTTTCTTGGCCGGAGCTGGGGCTGGAGCATTACTTGAGAATTCGAAGCTGACCTCGAATCGAGCAAAGGCTGCAAAATCCTGTGATGGAACTATGTTCCATCCCCGTGAGTCCATCATGCCATGCCCATGCCATGCCCATGCCATGCCCATGCCATGCCCATGCCATGATGACATGATGACATGATTCGGAGGGGAACGGAGGAAGCCAAATGCTACTCAAGTGCGGGCTCGCATGGCGGACCTGAGCAGGCATCACTGGCTGCCAATCACTTTTTCAACTTTAATAGTTACATAGTTGTTCAGCCGGCCCGCCAGCCAGCCAGCCACGTTCAGCAATCTTAATGTGACGTCCTTTCTAGCTCTGGCGCCTCAATCATTGAATGCCTACTGGTGAATGCGGAAGAGCTCTGAATTCGGACAAGCTCAGTACAGTAGCTGCTAGCTGCACCAACGCCAGGCGTGCGCAGGCCGGCTGTGCCAGCCTCGCCTGCAACACTTGACAAGACGCGGTTTTGCAACTCAATTGCAACTGCCAGTTCACGTGAAAGCGCTCGCGCGCGCTGGCCCGGTTAGATATCCTGAATCATTGCGGGGGTGACGCGACGAATCTTGCACCGGGGAAAATAAGAGCGCTGTTTCCCGGTCAAGATATTTCCCAAACAGGGAAATTGACTTTGTAGCCATCCATCCTGCAGAATCGACGGTCCGAGCGTGCTTGGAATATCGAATATTCAACTTCTTTCAGCCGGGTAGTCCTACCGGGGTACAGGAAAGGGGTGGGTTTACCTTTCGAGAAACATTCGAACTTCCGACTTCGGTCAGCAACTTTCCTCTGGAAAGCGGACCTCTAGAAGTGCGGGAAGCATGGGGTTATGCCCCAGATATCTGCTGAACGTCTAGACTTCCTTTCGTCCAGATTTCAAGTTTCAGGAGAGCTTGCACCTTTCGCGGGAGCCTAGAGAAGGAAAGCCATTTCAGCGGAGGAAGAAGGAAGCACATGGAGTAGGAACGCCGCAGGAAATCGGAGCATGGTGTTCATTATGAAGGTTTAGCACGGGCCAAGGCGCATGTTAGCTGACGCCAGTTGATGGTGACCCTCCTCCATGGCGGTGCTGCCTCTGCAGCCCCTTGCTGCTGCCCTCTCTCGGCAGCAGTAATCCCCCTGAGCCATGTGTCCCCTTGTCGCATAGGGACGCCAGCCAGTCCCCCCTTCGGTGGCTGCAGGGCTCCTCTGCTAGTCGCCATGTTTGGCGGTCCGGATTAGAGGCACAGCCTGAGGGCAGAGGCCTGAAACGTTTGTGATATGGACTTACGGGGTTGTCGCTTGGGCCCGCTCCAGGGGACGGTAACGCTGGATATATTACAGAGCAGAGAGGGCGGGTCTGCCATCTGAGGAGTTGGGACGTTTCTGTTTTCTTCTTCACAATTGCCCTTTTAGCTTCCCTGGACCATCTTCCGCCTCGAGATCTCCTTCTTTCATACGACGAATTACCTTCCACCGCACCGATTTTATTTGTTTTTTGGCATCAAGCTGTACCAGCCGTCAGTGAAGGGTGCTGAAGAAGCCAAAGCTTTGTTGGCAAGAGCCTTATAACCTGGTCGAGCTTCCGTGGGGGAAGAGTGTTACAAATAGTGATTCACAAGCTCTTGGACGTGAGACAGGACTGTAGAAGGGGTCCCTTGTGAGCAACCAGCAGCTGAGTCAACATCCGACAATTGCATCCACCAGGCAGCACAAACCGGTCGAGGTGCTCCTGGGTCAATTTTGAGCCTTTACCAGCTTAGGGGAGCTAGGATTGACCTTTAAGAAGTAAGCGGGGCTCAGTAGGAGCTTCCAGTTTGAGCAGATTTGACAGTGTAGTGGGTCAGCGAGGAGGATCAGCTTGGGCTTGTGGGAACAAACTTGTTAAGGGGCCGAGGTCTTGGGAAAGGGACTGTCCTGGCAACGGTCGTGCATGTGCAGCAATTCTTGCAAGGGTCATTATTCACTGCGAAGCGAGCAGTTGCCAACAGAGACTAATAGATAGGGGACTAGGTAGTCTGAGTTTTACACCTATTCAAGGTACCAACAAGGATCAGCGAAGATGAATAGGTAAGCTTGGCTCCTTTCCGCATTTGTGTTCAGACTCCATGCATCTAGTTGTCAACCAGCCCGCTTGGGAGTTGCAGAAGCCAGGAATGGTGTTGTGCAAACTCTTCTTAGACCTTCTCATAGCCTTCTATGCAATTTTGCACAGGGCCTGGTACATCAGGAGGCATGTGTCCTGCCGCTGCAGAATTTTGTACAAGTCAAGATGATTAGTTTCTTTCCGGATGATCATCAGAAAGGTCTTTACTTCAGACGGCATTTACTCGAAGGTCGTGTAAGAACTTCTCATGAAATGTTCCCGTTCTTCGTCAGGGATCACCCCTGTCCAGCTAGGGCCTGTTTTGGTGTTTGTGTGTTACCTGAGGCCCCGTCATTGTTCAATTTCTAGGAGGGCAGGTTCCTGAATAGGCCGCTTGATTGTCTTGCTGCATGAGTAGTCTGCCCCAGTCAAGGCATCCTGTCATCAACCTTACAGACGATTAGACGAGCAGTCGCTCTGTGGTCATATTCGCGTCACAAGAGTAGAACATTTTGCAGGACTACATTTGTGCTCATGCCTCGTGCCATTCTTGCAGATACAAGATAATCAAGCAGTTGGGGGATGGGACATATGGTAGCGTATGGAAGGCTACAAATAGACAGACAAATGAAGTGGTGAGCCTTCCTCTCAGCTGATTTTGTTGCTTATCGACCTTTCCTCAGGGTGCTGGTGCTGCATTATGGTTTGTCAGGTATTTGGTCGCCCTCTTTTTAGGTTGCTATTGCATTGTCAGTTGACATGTCATTATCTTCTGAGCATGTTGTCCTTGCCCCTTTCGTGAATGTCTACTGTGCACAAGTGATTATTTGCATGATTATGTTGAATGCAGGTCGCAATAAAGAAGATGAAGAGGAAGTTCTACTCGTGGGAAGAGTGCATGAACCTGCGAGAAGTCAAGGTAGACCCCATGCTTCGCTGCTCACTGTTTGAAGATAAGCTAGCACCGATTATGACATCTCTTCCTTATCGGCATTTTTGCTTGCCCATGCACTAAAAGTATCTGCATGGTTACATGGATTTTTTGATACTGTCAGGAACCTCAGGGAGCATTTGTAGGTTCCATTTCGTTTGCATCTCCTGCATGGTCCCTTACATCAGGTCTTCCAACCTTCTGACGCTTTGTTGAGGAGCAAGTGTAGGACTCTGTGGCACAGCATTGCTGCGTAAATGCCACTGCAAGGCATTTACGCTTTTTGTACTTCCTGCATCTCCTGTCGAAACCTGATGTAGCTCTTGTTTCTGCTTGCAGTCTCTTAGGAAGCTGAACCACCCAAACGTGGTGAAGCTGAAGGAGGTGATCCGCGAGAACGACGAGCTCTTCTTTGTGTTCGAGTTCATGGTAAGCCTACGCTCCTGTGTGGCAATGCGTTACTGGGGCTGCTTGCTAGCTCCAAATGTGTATGCATGGCAGCCATATGTTGGCCCTGTTCGAGTTTTTTCCTGAAGCATTCTGCCCTTTGAGGGCTTTCAATTTACTTTGGCCTGTCTACAAAATGCATCTTGTGTTTTTGTCGGGGCTGTCAAGGTTTGCTTCGCTCTGCCCCTCACGCACATGTTCTTGTATTCCTTGGGTTTCAGCACAAGGTATTGTCATCTTGACTCCCTTCTTCAGTTTCTTTCCATTCATCCTCTTGTGCTCAGGGAAGACACGCTGTTCATATTACTCAAGCTTGTTCGCTCCATTGCTTGGGGGAAACCTGCTTTCAAAGCTCAGTCTTGATTCATGGCTTACAATCTGCTCTGTTTTCTTCACAGGAGTGTAACCTGTATCAGATGATAAAGGACAAGGACAAGCTGTTCCAAGAGTCCAAAGTACGCAACTGGACCTACCAGGTCCTGAACGCGCTGGCCTACATGCACAAGCATGGCTATTTCCACAGAGACCTCAAGCCTGGTGAGGAACGAGAGCTTTGGTTGTTCCTCTGTTTGGCACGAAAGTGCTGTTACTGCGGTTGAGCAGTCCATCCCTTTATGGACATGGCTGTGGAAATTCTTAGATGACCTAAGAGCGGTGAGTAATACAGTTGAGCATCTGTACCTGAGCCGGCGCTGCTCAGTTGTTGACGTACTCTTCTGGACAGATGCATGTCATTATATTTGTGCGATTTTCATCATTTATTAGACTATGACATATCATTTAGTTACTGCCCCCATAGGACAAAGCTGGTCACTAAGGTCTACCATGTATGGTTGCCAGATTCATTTGGACCACTTATGACCAAAACTACCATAGCTTAACCAACCAAGATGCCGCTAACCCCTCCCAGATCAATTTGACCAAGTCTTTCTTGTTCCATCCCACTTCCACAGAGATTCCGGAGGGGGGTAAAAGATTGAGAGTGCTAGACAATCTTCACCCAGTCTCCAACTTTCTTTTGAGCTGGTTTAGAATGTAGCAACTCTCAACCCCATCAACCCTTTCCTGCAGAAAACCTGCTGGTGACGGGAGGTACCATCAAGATTGCCGACTTTGGCCTGGCCCGGGAAGTGCGCTCGCGCCCGCCCTACACCGACTACGTCAGCACGCGCTGGTACCGCGCCCCTGAGGTCCTGCTCCAGTCGTCCTTCTACAGCGCACCCATCGACATGTGGGCCATCGGGGCCATCATGGCGGAGCTCTTCACGCTGCGCCCGCTGTTCCCTGGAGCCAGGTGAGAAGGGGCGTTCTCTCTGTCTTGAGTTCTGTTCATGTCAGTCAAGGGCTCCATTCTGCTGTGGTCAAATCGAGTTCGCGCACTGCAGTCCAATTCTTCGGTCATCTCTTTCTCAGCTCCTTTTTTGGCAATGTCTGGGTACTGTTTTCTCTGGACTGGACGTTTTTTGTTGGATATAGCTATTCTGGAGTTTTCTGAAACGTTTTTTTGCTTGTGGGGCTTGAGGGGCTGGTGAGCTGCGGTGTCGTTCCTGCCTCTCGAAGCTTATCTCTTTCTTGAGCACAGAGATGGGGGTTCACAGACCAACTGGCTGACATGGTGTTCGACTTGCTTTGCTACCAATCGAAAGATGAGCGAAGCTTGAATGCTTCGCAGTTTGAACAGTACTATCTGTTCCTGCGCTGTAGAAAACTCCTGTTTTTGTCGCAAGCATCCAATTCTTGTGCTTCTTTCCATCAACTCTGTAACCCTGTTTGCTTGCAGCGAGGCCGATGAGCTGTACAAGATCTGCCACGTGCTTGGCACCCCCAATCACCAGAGCTGGCCCGAGGGCATGAAGCTGGCGAGCGCTATGAACTTCCGCTTCCCACAGTTCGACACCACGCCTCTCACGACCCTCATCCCTTCGGCAAGCCCGGAAGCCATTGACTTGATGACTGTGAGTGTCCTGCTAATCTCATCTCTAGAGTACAGTTGTTCTGTCTTCGGAGTTTGCATCTGTGGTCATACGACCTTTGTGCGCCTGCAGATTGGGTTCCTAGAATACAGGAGGTTGTGCATTTCTGGGGTGGGTCGTTCAGAAACGATCTGAGACCCGGTTTCTGAGCAGCGACGGTGTAATTTGTATCTTTGCGAATCGCAGCTTTATCTTTTTCGGCGATCACCTATATTGTCTCTTCTTTGTCCTCCGCGCTAGATTTTCGTTCTGGTCATTCCTTACCAACCTAGCCTGTATTCATTGTTACTCCTTTTGCCGTTCTGCAGTCTCTCTGCCACTGGGACCCCAACAAGCGGCCCACCGCCGCCCAGGCTTTGCAGCATCCTTTCTTCCAGCTGGGGCAAGTCATCCCCCCCAGCCTCTCCCGCCGGGAGAGCATGCACTCCAGCCAGGGCTACCCCATGGACGGTAAGTTCCGCAAGAACCCTTACCCAGCAGAGTTCCTGCGTTGGATAGTCGTTCTCTGTCCAACTTCAGTCACCTCCGAGTATATGCTGTGGCAGCTGACGATGACACGCAAAGAGGTCAAAGCGGTTCAGCATTGAAGTTTCGAAGTGTGGTGGATGTATTACCTGAATATGTTGGAGGCTCTCTACATGTTGTTTGGATCATCCCTTCCTCCCCCTCGTCAAGGAAAAGATACATTCTGTTTGTCTGCATTTAGTTGAGGTGCAATGTCTCATCATATCTGTACTCCCACCCGTACTGAAATGGATCATTCATTGGAAGCCCCAGGCTCACTGCGGTGCCCTTTTCCCTGCAGCCCAAGACGCCGCTTACGCCGAGGCGCTTCTCGCCAAGGAACGCGCCCGCGCCAGCGAGCGCGCGCGCCTCGAGGCGGCCGTCCAGCAGGCGGCCAATCCTATGCTGCCAGCTGTCCCTGGAGCTGCCAAGTACTCCAGCACCATGGCCCAGGCGACGGCGGCCGCTGCAGCAGCGGCGGCAGCTGCCCCGAAGGTCGTCCTCGCCCCCGCGAAACCCCTCAACCCTTCTGTTCCGAACATGGGGTACGAGGTGAACGGGAGCTACGTGCGGCAGGCGCGCTACCGTCCCGGCGTGACAGTCCAGAGTAAGGCCCGTCTTTGATTTGCTCTTAGATTTGTAGACAGATTTCGGGTTTTTGGAGGGAAAGGCTGGGGTGTTGCCGTTTCCTGGTCGTCTTACGCTTCAGCGAGTGCTCGGCTGTGTCGGTTGTAGAAGGGTCGCAGCAATGCTTCTGTCATCCCGACATGTGGCCTGAAACCTGGCGACTTGACGAGGGTTGCGTCAGGTTTCTGAGGATTAGAGCCGTCTCTGAGGGTCGCTCTTTACTTTTCCTCCACTTTCATGATCCTGCAGGCGTTGTCAATAACGGATCATGTCTTACAGTTTCCTAGTCGGCAAAGTTGCAAACATGCATCAGTTTGTGAGGCAAAAGTCCAGCTTCTTATCCTCGTGTCCCTCTGTTGCTGCAGCCTTGCCGCCCCTCGTTGCAGCTGGATATGCCAACGTGGTGCCCTCTGTTCCCAAGGCCGAAGTGTCTTCCGTTTACCAGCCGCCCAGGTAAGGAGTCATGGCCTCCCTGTCCTTCCGATCAATCCTGACTACGACTTCGATCCAATTTGCAGAGCTTTTGAGAGTCAGCGTTGCTTTTGTGACATCCTTAATCTCGGAAAGATTGCGCTCCAGAGTAACATTTCTTCTGGATCGTTTGCATCTCTGGCGCTTTCTGTGTTCTGCTGTCACAGGAAACGCTCCTTTTGTAGCACAAATTTAAGCTGCCAGCTTGCTTTTTGTTGGAACAAGTTGTAATCAGCCACTGGCCCCACCTTGCTTCTCTCATCACTTCAATTGCACACACCTCATACCGGCGGCGTTTGGCAGCAGTCGTAACTCTGTCATTTGCCCCTTGTCCTCCAGGAACAACGCTGCCGTCATGCCAGCTGGCAACCCGGTCGCCGCACAGTACGCTGGACAGTATGGGGTGCGCCAGTACGGCGCTTTCCCAGTGGCCGGGTCCGCACAAGCATACGGACAGGCGTACAGCCAGGCTGCCTACCAGCAGAACGCGTTCCGCTATCTGGCGCAGCCCGATAGCCGCGTGGCAGTCGGCGCCCCGGCCGATCGCCGGAGGTACTAGGAGAGGCGCTGGTTGTGGCTGGCGGGATAATCCTGGGTGTGAGGACGTAGAGGAGCGGTGGTGGACACTGGAATCCGGGTGAATGCGGTCTGAGGGAGTGCAGTGGCTGCCAGTTCGGGTGGCTATGCGAGCCGTTTCGGCAATGGGATCGGGTTTGGGTAGCATGCGTGACGTGCATTTTCTTTTTCCTTAGCTGCACATGGTTATGGGGTGATTGGTCGCTGAGAAAGTGGTCGGGTCGTTTGTGATGTCGTCAGTGAAGGCTGGGTGTGATAGCGGCCATGTACTGTAAGATCCGCGGATGTGTACAAGTCGGCAGAGTCAATGGTTTGGGTGGTGGGAGCAGGACTTGATTGAGTTGTATGTAGGTAACGAATAAAAGTACGCCAGTCAGGACGTATGGAAAAACAGCAGGGTCCAGACTCCAAAGTAGGACCCAAGGCGTATAAAGCCGAAGTCACTCGCCTCATAGTGATAAACTAACCATCTAGGTTTGCTCAGTCGTAGTGCAGAGGCTAATTTTGATCTGAGCTAAGCACGAGCCTGAGCAAGCATTATAGATACGCGGCAAGGACCTTTTTTGCGTGTCCAAGCCGAACCAGAGTCGATGTCATCAATCAAAAGCGGTGGTTATTGAGAAATGCACATTCAACCGGGTTTGTTTGGTATGCTTCCTATCCTGCTGTTCTGGCGGTGGTTGTGTTGGTCACTTCTTTGACAGCACAATTTATTGTATGGCAGGAGGGTTCGTTGTATGTTAGTTGCCGAGGCTGTAACTCAGTGACCTTGTTATAAGTTAAAACCCGTAGTTCCAGTATGTTGCAAGACTGACGGTCACTGATCTGCATGGTGGCTTGCATCATTGCATGCGCAGGCAGCCTTGTCAGTGGCATGAATGCAACATGCGCGGGCGTCAGTGAGCCTGCCTCGCTGCCCACTGGTGTACATGGCCTGGTATGACCTTCGCCTAGCATGTTCACATTAGCCTGGTTAAGTTAGTTACAGATTTGTGCGGACTCTGTATTAAGTACCGGCGCCCATGCATGCGCGTAGTTGGTCAGCTAGTACATGTGCAAGCATCACGAATTTGAAGGGAGTCGTATCATATACTTATGAGGGCCATGCAAGCCTATATAGCTGGATGACGGTTGAATTGGCCCCTTATTAACTTATGTATACGGTAGCCCCGAATGAACCAATTGCCGGACTGCTGTCGGCCACCCTAGGGCCGATCAGTTGCATGGGGGCTGATACGATTGGTCGCCTAAGTCTCCTAGATGATCTTCATGGGGCCCACGACGTGCCGCGGTCGCATCGAGACTAGACTTTTTAAACATGAAATCGTCATGCATTTGGAATCAGATAGCAACACAACGTTCAAATGATTGCTCAGCTCGACGACTCAGTGACTGAATATGGTAAACGACTTGGCGCCTTTGTGATGATTGTTTTGAATCTCGGAAGGGCTGGACCTTGCACGGATGACAATCTTCAGCTGTCTATCACTACCAAGTTATGCATCACAATCACGCATGTGCTAGTCCGAAGAGGATATGTCCTCATTTGTCGACTATTATGGAGCTCGACAATCTGAGCCAATTGTTTGTGTGTGCGAAGCTCCGGTTGAGCCCTGCAGAGGCAAGCATGGGCTCATGGGCATCGAGTGATATTCTGCGATCAGCGTAGTGAAGCTCAGGTTACGAAATCCTTCTGCTTAGCAAATGCTTGGCAGCCTGCTTCTCGCCTACTCGTGCGAACTTGCAGCTGATCTGGTGAGCTGTGCTGGCATACATCTTAATCGAAGTAATCAGACACGTTGAGAAAGGCTCCTCTTATTCGAACGTGAATCGCTCCGAGAGATTCAAAAACTGACAAGAAAGTCACGAAGAACTTGGCGTGTAACTGAGGCTCACATTCCGGAAGCAGATTGCCACCCGGTTTTGCTCGATGTAATGCGACATTTCAGTCTCTATTTGGACCAGAACTCGCCTCGGCAATACTGATTTCGCATTAACGCCACAGTGCCAGAACAGGTTTCGTCCTACGGAAGAGGGCTCCGTCAGGGACAAAGTCCCTTGGGATCGAGGGATGCATTTTCAGAGTCGTTTGTCCGTTTGCCATGATGGAGATTGGAAATATACGTTCACTAATCAACGGGCCGAGATTCGTCTTCTTATCGGCAGAATGAAAGGCTTCCTTCACGAGCTTTCATACGTGTTCTTCCTCGACTACGAGGATTTGGGATGTCTGAATTTCCTTTCGAAGATTCATCATTCAATCTGGCCTTGAAAATCGACTGAAAGCAGAGTTCAACTTACCAAAGCTTCTGAGAAACACAGAAACAACTCTTGGGCCTGATACTTAATACTCTTTCAACTTGGTCACTTCGGATAAGTGGTATTGATATAAACGCTCCCTTTCCTCCCGTGAGATTCAAAGCTGTAGGATCGCGCCGGACAAAGATGTTGTCTGCATCGCCGTGGATGTAAGAACCGAACCGCTTTCATCTGACGGACACGGATTTTGTGGGTCTGGGGTCAGGCAATCGAAAGGCCTGGTGCACTTATTGTTACTCGTTATAAGCTGGATGTCCAGGTAAAACATTCACTCGTGGCTTGAGTAGCTAGGTCCCGTTGGGAGTTGAGAAGGATGTGATAGAACGCAGGGCATAACAAAGAAAATTCTGGCTGCTAACCGTGCTGATTACCAGACTCGAGTCTCAGGTTATTGGACAGGTAACCGGGCGGTAACCTTGTTTCAAGGCTGGTTACTCCCAAGTCTGGCTACTGGACACTAAACCACTTTGAAATCAGCCCATAGCCAGCTCTTAACCATCATGCTTATGGGCCAAAAACTCCTGTGTATAACATTTCCCCGCTAGACTCTTTTCTCAGTGTTTCGTGCTCGTTGCATATTGCTGAAGCGAAACTAAACATTGAATTATCCAGGATGTAAGCAGGTGAGACTGATACTGGGCGTATGACTCTAATGGAGCGGCGAACTTTCGCATCTCGTTCAGCGAGGCCGGAAGTGGCGGAAGTGAATCGGGTACTGCCGCCGGTTCAATGATGTACGGCAGAAAAGATGAATCGTTTCTCGCACTTCGAAACCTAGTTTGTCAACTCATGATACGTTTCTTTTCCCGTTCGAAAGCCGGGCTACTAGAGCTGGGACTTCGTTGATCCAATTCGTCGACTCCACTTGTTCTGCCAGTGGAGCGAGATGCGCCCTGGTTCGGCACCGTTCTCAGGCTGGGGCCCGCGCGCGCCCACGGTGCAAACTGACGATTATATGCTGATTAAACTTCGAAACGTACGGGATGAGATGGGCGATACCATGTTGGCCTGGGCCCGTATGTACGCTTGGTTGTCATTTGGCAGGCGCAGAGTGCGAGATCAAGAGTTTCGGAAGCCAGGCTTCAAGAAATTAGACCGTAGTGCGCCCACCATGTCGCTTTGTTCGTCGAGTTATGAACAATGTCAGCGCTTTTGTGCCTGCCACATGGGAGCCCACGTGGCTGACTGATTTGGCAGGACATCAATGCTAGATCGAAGGAGAGCGAACTTAGTCAAAATGCAGATTGCGTCTGCACCGTGTGACTTAATCCTTGTTGCAACATCACAGCCTTTGCAAATTGGTGGTTCGTACGAGCGCGAACCATAATTCGTAGTCGGACAGGTGATCAGCTTCGAGAATGCATCATGAAGCAGGAAACAGATCTAGAAGGTCATTACAGGATGCAGTCGGCTCAGTGTACGGTAGCTGGCTCAAGATCGGCCCCGGCTTTCTCAACTTTGGAGTCGAAGAGTCTCATCTCGATGGGCATTGAAGTGCGCGCGCCAGGCGGCGCAGTATTAGGATCCTTCGAATCTGTCCTGGTCTGAAGCCTAAGGCAGTAATCAAGGACACAGGGAGGAAAGGAGCTAGGCGCAATCATTTCCGCGAAACCTTACTGGCTCAATGCCATTGGAAAGAAACTTGTCCTGGAAAGTTGGCAGTGCAGTCAAACCGCTTTCGTGCTGTCCAAGGAATGTCTCGTGTACTGTGCAGTCCACGCGGAGGCGTGACGCTGGGCGCCGCGTGGTTGTCACTGTAAGCTTGGCGCGCTGGCACGGGGCGCTGGCGGCCGGGTGAAACGTCCAGGGTTTTGTTGGGGTTTTGATCTTTCACCTGCAGGTTATCAAAACCCTAGCTCCGAAATCCTAGGTGGGCAGATCTGGATTCTGGGCAGATCGGATCTGCAGCGACCCCCTGAAAACCCGTAAACCCAAACCCTGAAACCCGACCGGACCGAGGACTTCGGCCAAAACAACGCGCGCGCAATTTTGTAGTATGATCATTGCCATATATGTGGGAACGCGGATCATGGGCCAACTTTTTAGCCACTCGGACGGGGTCCGAAGGTGTCCGTACAATTGCTGAGCGGTACCGAACCGCACACGTGTGAAATAATATAAGCGCGCGGAGCGTATAAAACTCAAATTTGAATCGCTGGGAAGCGATTTTTGGGCCAGTTTGCCACACTGTCCTCAATGATGCTCAAAGAACCAAGTCGTAGGATCAATTTACATATAGGCAGGCTCCACTTTTGGCCGCTTACATCTTGTCATACCCGCTTGGACTACAAGAGGAACGAGGCAATTTGGAGGCAGTTGGACGTTTTTGGCTATATGGGGACATTTTTCACCATTTTTGGACCCATTTGCCACACTCAACTCAAAGGAACTCTATGGTTTCTCTTAGGGGATCGATATAACAACATATTGGCTTGACATTTCGCCGCTTACATGTAAACAAAGCACCCCCGCCTGCTTGAAGAACTCGACTCACTTACCTTGTCGCAGATTTCTGCATCAGTGCCAGTTTTGCTACACTGCTATTGCAAGTATGCCAGTCCAACGTGGCCAACCATTTGTAACAAACTTGCCGCGCTTAATTGGATGACTTGTAAGCAATGTGGACAATCTCTCAAGTGCAATTGAAGTTTGTATCCTTCTTGATGCTAAGCAGCTTGCAATGTGGCTAATATGCTTCAAAAGACACGACGTCTGGCCGCTGGTAGATTCAAGTACCGAGCCACTCAAAACCCATGGCAATGTTCGAGTTGGGTTTATATCCTATTAGCATTCGAGCCTACGTGTTTCTATCTTCAAACCTTTTACGTGCCGCCTCTTCAACCCCAAAATAATACTAGATTGTTACGGGGTAGTAGATGCCAAACTTAGTCACATCTTTACACTTACGGTACGTGCGCTATCTTAGATGATGTTGGCACTTGATTTGTAAAAGTATGGTGGCATCGGATATTCTAGTTGGAAGAAACATGGACATGGGCATTAAATTATGATGGCAATGACACATATTTATTTTGTACGAATGGTATCGTATAGCAGTATAGCACGCGTATAGCCAGGCTGTACTAGGAAGGTAACCGCGGCTTCAATGGTACCGTGACAAATTGGCAAGTAAGATAGCTTCCGAATACATCAATACTACGCACTTGCGTATATGCACCTCAATGCATACAAGTAGTGAGTCCGTCTTATGGTCTCACCTTACCTGCATAACTGAGGCTGCCACCCTTCGTTGCTACTGTACTCCTACTGTACTATGAGTACTACTGCGGTCATACGGTAGCTGCACTGAGTACCTAGCCTAGTAGCCAGGTTGAGCCTTGACAGTCTTGACCGAGTCGGAGACCGCGCTCGGTCGCGGATCTTCGCATTTACTTTTGGCGATACAGTGAGTCACGTGGTATCTCCGGTACGATACCAGAGAGCAGGTACCGGAGTGGTCCGAAGGTCGACTCCAGTCTGGGGCGTTGGCTAAAAATTCCAGCCCATGTTCCGCGTCCCCAATATATGGCACTCTGAGTCCGAGTCCTAGGCTGCATTCACATTGCGCAGCCGCCTTCTGTGCTTCACTTCAGCATGCAGAATCCAGCCATCCTGTCCGCAGGATGCAGCGTCAAAGAGCAAAGGCGGCGGGGATCGAAGTGCTGCCTGAGGAGTTGATCCTCCTCATCTTCCAGGAGGTGATTGCGTCCTCTGGCGCTGCATACGCAAACCTTAGCCTAGTGTGCATGCAATTCAGGGAGCTTGCACGCAAAACACACTGCGTGTTCTTTGATCTCAGGGGTGAGACGCACACGGTTCAGGAAGGAAAAGCAAGTTCATTTGTGGCTTTCCTTGATGCCCGCCCAGACCTTGAAAGCCTGACTTTGAAAAATGTGAATTCATATCCATTATGTTGGATAATCGAGCGTGTTCGGCAGCTGTCAGCTCTAGAAGCGCTTCATTTTTGCAGACTTAGTCCTTCTTCTGGTTGGATTCCCGCTTTCCACTTCCTGACTAACCTCACCAGCCTGCGTTTGTCCAAAAGCAGTCTGACTTCTGGATTCCTAGCAGGCCTTGGGGGCCTTCGGCAACTCACAAGTTTGGAGGTCTGGGATTGTGGGGGCGATGGACTGTACACATTGAGTGGAGCGCTCAACACTTTCACCTCTCTTGTCAAGCTCAGACTCTCAAGGAACAGTCAGTGGCACCCATTCAGCATTCAAAACCTCACAGCTTTGACGAGCCTAGACCTGTCCGGGAACAAGCTAAGGGGCGATGAAGCGGTTCTGGGCGAAGAAGGCCTTGGGAAGCTTCAAGCGCTGACGTTTCTTGACTTGTCGGGCAACCCGATAGAGTTCGATGGCGCCCAATCACTGTCTGCGGTGATTCAAAGCCTCAGAGCTCTGAAATGTCTGAACCTGGACGCAACAACGCAATACGAGATTGGTTTGTGTTACTATAATGGAAAGGGGGTCGCAGAGAACAAGGGACGCGGTGTGCAGTGGTTTAGAAAGGCTGCGGAACGGGGTCAGGTCAATGCTCAGAACCACTTAGGTTGGTGTTACTTGCGGGAAGGAAGGGGCGTGGAAAGCAACAGGGCTCACGCCGAGGAGTGGCTCATAAAGGCTGGTGACCAAGGCCATACAGACGCTCAATGCATCCTGTGGGACCTTTTCGTAGATGCGGAAGTTGATGAGAGTTTGTTAGAGTTGAATGAAAGGGTAGCAAAGCAGGGGCAGGCTGAAATTAGAAGTAGACCGGCCTTAGGCCGGGACCCTGATGTCGGAAAAGACATGAGGCGTAAAGATAAGCGCCCTGTGGAAGACTGTCAAGAGGCTGCTGGCCACGGCTATGGGGATGTGAAGGTAAGGTCAAGCCTTTGTTGCAAGGATGGGGATGAGGAGACCGATGTGAGCAGGGCCGTTGCATGGATAGAGAAGGCCGCCAATCAAGGCCACAGTTTTGCGCAGAGATGGCTGGAAAGTGTCTTGAGAGACGACCAAGGTTAACAAGTGTTGAGGATGAAAACGGGAAATGTACATGCGTAGTGTTGTGTACCAGAGTTTTGACAGTGAAGTGTTAGTAGCCCAATGATGTCGGTCATCCTAAACTACCTAGAGATCAGACCTTTCTGTCCACAGCTGTAATCATGGACGTAGACTGTTTTGACATAACATACACGGCATATCAGACTTGAAAAGCACCCGGTTCGGCTCGGCGACGGGAATGTGCGAGATCGGGGTTACAGTGGCGCGAACGTGATCAGATGGACAGGTAACATGCGTAGCTAATCAAGAACTTGAAGCTATACACTCAGCGACACCGTGCATCGGAAAACTAACTACGACTATTTCACATCACATTGAAATACCAAGAGATGATTAAGACTGAGAGTAAGGTGTTGGCGCAACTCGGTTGCACGATCTGTCAAAATGCAGACCCTTGAATTGTTGTTCTGAGTATGACATCATGCCAGAGATCATTCATTTGTCCATTCACATGATTTGCTATAATAGTACCAGTCACGGTGGGCTTTTATATGCAGTCCATCGCATACTAAGGTACTTTGAGTTACACTAGGTATGTCGGGTCAATCATAACTGCCACCCCAGTGCCGAGTCCAACGCATGCCAGCCCATGGTCGGGGCCGGAGCTGATCATGAGTGCAACGATCGTACAGTTAAGGCCGGACGCTACTATGTGTGTCAGTATGTCACTGACGGTTCTAACCGTCAGGCTCCTGGATTGAATTTCATGGATGTAAGGCGCTAGCCGCCGCTTTGTATGATAGGAAGCTGAGCAGCTATTCGTGGCCGCCCATGCAGGCTTCAAATCATGTGGGACATGCATCATTGCGTCGCATGGCGGCCACAACCCAATGTATTTTTGTGCATACAGCCTGCCCGCTACCAAAAGCGCGGCCCGTCTGCAACGTCTTTTACCTGCAGCACAGTACTATAATAGTATGCAGTGAATGACAGCCGCTGAGCGCACATCTCTAGTACATGAAATGGTACTTGCACATGGTACATGACTCATCTGGCCGTCACGCTGGCAGGTATAGCGAGGCCGCCAAGTCACTCAGAGGCTGCCATGTAAATGAGCGACCTGGCCGCACAAGAATGGCTGTGACTCGAGACTAAACGCACCTCACATTCTTTTTCATTGTTGTCTCAAGGCTTCCTTTGACGGCTTTGCCCCTTCTAATCTGTCCTCTTCCCCGTCTTCCTCATAGTCTAGCTCATCTTCGTCCTCCTCTTCGAACAAGAAGTCGCCCTCCTCCCCTTCATCAAACTCGTCAAAACCTTCCTCGTACTCTTCGTACTCATCGTATTCTTCCCACTCGTCCTCATCTTGGAGTGCAATGATATTCCCATCATCGTCTTTCTGAAGCAAGCTTCCGATCTCGGGCCTCCGGTATTCAGGCGGCGGCGGGCAGGGCTTTGTGATTGCGCGCTTTTGCTTGACGATAAGTTGCCGAATGATCCTGGGGTCTTGTCTCATTCTGCAACATAGGATTCTCAAGTCAGCAAGAGCACCCGTCACTCGATCGCCGTGTCACATTTTAGAAAAAAAGTGAAGAAATCAAGGACTCGAAGCTCGATAACCAGGATACAGAGACGCAGTCGCGCAACTTCGAAGGCAAGTTCAGTTTCAAAGAACGATCTGCACCGGTCGGCTGCACGAAGGCTCTGGTCACATACAACGAGGTGTTTTGAGGGCCCTCGAACAGAAGCATAAGATCGGGATGCAACCAAACAAGGGGTTTAAAACGGAGCCCGAAACTTCAGGAAACGGAATTGCATCAAAGTTTGGGCGAAAATGCGGGCAGTAATCCCGACGAAGATCCACGGTCTAGACATACCGGGCCTAGACATACCGCAAACGTTTAATTGCAAGTACGAAAGACCCAGGCCCGCCGATCGTATTGGAAATGCAGTCCCGCCGTTATAAGCAAAAGCAGAATCGCACAACGCAATTTACGATCCTTTTCTAACAAACCCGAAACGACTGTCACCATACTCAACGAGACGGATGAGGATAGAAGTAGCAGTAACTCGTCCGGTAAATTTTGGAAACCTCTTCGTAGCAGATTGATGGCATACCGTCAGTTGATCAAGGGGAGGTTGCTCACGAGACGCTCTCAGAAAGACCTCCACACTCTTCCGTAGGTTGCCAGGCGTAATGAGCAGAACAACCCTTCGGCAAACGTTGAAATCTACACAGGGGCTCGCACTACGAAATTCTCACGCTAGCATTGCTTGTAGCCTTGGAGTATTCGACGAGGTTGTGGTTCCGGAAAGCTCACACTTTCTCGATGGCGACCATAAGCCCCGGTATGCACTCGAAGTTCATGAGCACGTAGTTGGCACGTCGCTGCTTCTTTATCCGGTAGGCTAGCTGCCGTACGCCCCAGTCGTTCAGCCGCCACACGATGCCCCCGTTCTTTTCTACACAGCCTGTGGAAAAGCGGGCTTGTTCGAAAGGAATCTATTTGTGACGGAGCTCTATACTTCGGATTGCACAATGACCCGCCTCCTCAAGAGTCAAGAATCGGTCATGAGGCCTTGTTGAAATCTATCTCAGGCCGACCCCGCCAAAATAAGAGACTGAATACAATATCATCATGGGCAGCCTAGGGACACCCTGACTGGCAGAACCTGGGCCACTAAGATACGAACTTAAAAATGAAGGATGGCGCTTCAGCGTCGATTGGGGAACAAAAGCTCCAAGACATGTTTGGAAGCGTACACACAATGAGGAGGATCGACGGCAAGACCGTCTCTCTTGACAACCAGAAATATCTGCAGTGCAAAAGCTGTTCAAAATTGATCATGGTCGAGAGGCTGTCGTCAACCTTGAACGTTAATTCAAAAAAGGCAATCTGCTATTTCTGCACCCCAGTCAACTTCACGAGACTTCGGATACCTGGTCACATTCAGGATCTCAAGGACTCGAGGTTCACAATTTTGAAGAGCTAGGAAGTCGTCCCGCTCAGATAGCTTTTAAAACAGACAGGCGACCACTATATGAGAATAGAGACTCGTTGAATGCATGCTTTTTAAAGACGGAGGTCGCTTCGAGTGGAAATGTTGTTGAATACAATCAAGCGCTGGCCCAATAACGCAAGAAGAAGCTCTTACCTCGATAGAAATTGATAATGCGTGGCACGTTCTCTATCTCCTTTTCAGATATCAGGTACATGATCTCGTAGTGCCGGCCTGTGAGGAGGGCAAAGGCAAAATGAGCATGACGTGGGAATGTCTACGAGGAAGATGCAATTGGTTGTGTCGTTGACTTGCAATCCCCGATGTCTACTTCCCAAGATCTTCGATTCTGCTTCTTCATACGTGCAACTTTAACATCATCCTTATTGCGCAGCTAGAGTTATGCCGCTCCTGTTGCGGGCTAGCAAAGTCTGTCGACGTGGGGCATTCCTGAGTTGGCAAATCCCAGGTTCCTTGAACCTCAGGGAGACTAAGAGAGTCAAGGTGGATCATTGACCTTCGAACCGAGACAGGGGGCAGACCAACAGCTCGCTGACAGCCGCATGTACACAAAAGCGGGTTTTCAGGAACTTACCAAACTGGACGGCTATTTGGGACTGTCTCTTCAGCTTCAACTCGGTGTCAACTGCAGAGAAGACAAAGGGTCAGAGACTGCCCTGCACAGAAGTGTTCACCCGCTCCAAGCAGGTGGCGGAGACGGTGTTTTTGGGTGGACGCTTTGAACGATTCCATCAGCATCCTCTCCGTCTCCCTTCTGTCCCACACGCTCTTGAGAAAGCGTAGAGCTTCCAGCTTTGCAAAGCGATTGTGACGAAGTCTGGCACTCACTGGGCCAACAGAAATCCAAGGATTGTATCTCAGTAATTAGGCATGTGGTCCGCATTAGAATCATCACGAGCACTGCCCTGTTGTGAAGTGATTGCTGACAAACCTGCAATGCCATGCCATCAGGCAGAACCATTTCTTTCTTTCAGAAGCGGTCATTCGCAAGCTGGGAGATGCACCACAAACAAAGGAGGAGGACCATCATGGACCAAATGGGGGTCTGGGTAGTCCGAAATTGAAGGTCTTCTGGACAATCATGTGTCAGAGCTCTCAAGGACATCACAATGTACAACTCCAACTCAATATTGAGGAGAATTGCGCAAGCCATGCAATCCTTCATCACAATCGAATACACTGGCCCCCTGATGAGGTTAATCGAGATGAAACCTCATCAGAAAGTCAGTGGTGGTACACTGCTTCTGCTTTTATTCCAAATTGTACGCTGACATCCATACTTGTAATTTGCACCTCATAAATCAGCAGCAGGATCATTTTGATTGGTGGTGGCACATTGTCGGCTGCTCTCTGGCTGCTCTCTCAAAATAGACTTTAGTAGCAATCAAATCATACCTCCTCCACGGTGGTTTACATACAAAATGTGGTGGCGAGGGATGAATACACCGCTGAGCGCAGGCGTGCGGTAACGGATGCCAGAAAACACTTGTTGTCTACAAGACGCACCTCTTTCCCCAGACTCCACCTCTTGAACGGGCCTGGGCTCCGATTGCGCCGCCGAAGCCTGTCTTTGTGCTTCCACCTCATCCCCACTGCCATCAGCGTTCCCTTGCGCACAAACCCTAAAACTTTTTCTTGGTTCACGTGCGCTTTCTTTTGAGAATCTCGAGCTAGAGGCACCGTAAGAGAAGCCTGTATGTCTTTTTGCTGTATTCTTGGATATCTGGCAGCAGACAGAAGAGCTGCATTGGCTTTGGGAAGAAAGTTGGAACCCTAATCTGCAAGGAAGTGAAAGCTGGCCAACGAGGCCAGCTCTCCATTGTTGGCACTCTAGAGATGGAAAAGCTGCAAGTCGAACGTCCAACAACGCTGCAGAATGCGCCATGGTGCGAGCTTTGGAAGGGAACGCGCTCCAGCAAGCGATGTCAACAGCAGAGAATTGACTTTTCAAATTTCAGGGGCGTCCCTTTGCCACAAAACGCTCGCAAAATTAGGGTTCCAGGTTCCGAGGGTTCGGGCGCAGTTATCCTCCAGAATCAAACCATCTTTGCACGTCTTTGTTAAAATTTGAAAGTAGGTAGTACCGTACTGCCATTCGAATTCGCGCCCCAAGTCCGCGAATAATTATTTTCAAAGTTTTTCCCTTTTCGCATCGGCCAGATCAATTAATCTTTGTTTTCGTTTTTGCCCATTTTGCCTGCTAAAAGAGCCATTTTCGGTCCAAAAGTCCTTGTTTTTCCATTTCAACTTTTCGACCAGGCTGCAAATAATTTCCGACATTTTTCGACCTGGGGTAGAATAATTATTTTCTATGCGAATTCACAATGGCAGTACTGGTAGCCCTTAAATGTAACCCTGCTCTTGACCTGCAGGTAGCGTTTCTGCCCCGGCTGCTCTCAGCTGGGTCGCAAGCGTGTTTTCGTGGTGATCAAAGCCCGGGAGGGCCTGTGACCAAGAGGATAACCATCATACGGTTTGGCTTCGAATTTCTACAAAAGTTTCAATTAAACCAACTGCGCACACAATTTCAATTGCACAGAAGGCTCGGCCCCTAGCGGCGCATTCCCAAGTGTAGACACTTTCGAAACCGGTCAAAACCGGAAGACGGTGCCATTACGAGTCGGGTATGGTTGCTCCTGTCTGCGTGACACTATCGAAGTAAACACCGCTCGGAAGAACCTCTAACGGTTTTGCAAGATCTCGTAAGAACGTGCCAGGCTGGCCAAGCTCGGTCTAGGTACCTCTAGACTCGAGGCGCAGAGAAGCTGACTTTTTCAGAAAGAAAGAAGGATCATTATGGCGATGCCAAAGGTTGACCCAGTCTCTCGCTGCCGCCTAGCCGCCTAGATCATTTCTCAAGTGTAGCTGCCGCCATGGTTGATTCCCAAAACTCAATGTTCGGCGAGCCTTGACCCATTCAAACTTCGTTGCTCCACCTCTGCGCGATTGACGGCAGTATTATGTGACGGGAGGGTGGGTGTGCTGTGGAAAAGGTCGCTGGAAGGGTCATGAGAGCAGCATCGTGGTGGTCATTGTGCTCTGGATCGGAGTAGTTCATTCTGAATTGAGTGGCTGCTCAAGGAAGGCCAAATTGTCCTTAGAAGTTGGCCAAACGTTTGAAGCCTTCACCCGCTTGATTTCTGGGCCACGAGGAAGGGGCACTTAGCAGACAGGGGTGCATGGACGTGAGGTGAGACTACAGTTTTGAGAATTGATCTGAATCAGCAGCATCAAAGCTCCTGGAGTGGTGTGCATCGAGCGGTGTGCTTTCAGGGGCAGTGTTTGTCATATGTCAAACAGATTGCTTACGGCCAGCTTCCTGCAGGCACAATCGGATATTACCAATCCTTGCTGGGTTTTGCTTTGGAGCTGAGTAATTGCAACTCTTTAGAATGTGGACCCCAGATTGTTGACCTTGACTTGCCAGCTTTGGGAGCCTCTTGGACTGCTCCGTTCCTAAAATTCATTAGTTGGAATGGAAGCTCGAATAGTCTCAATTGCTAAATGGTTGGCTCTGTAAATTTGATGACTCTCTTGCCTGGGTATCGTAGCAACTTGACCACACCATCTTAAACCACACCATCATACCGAGCTCGTGTGTGTGTGTGTATCTTAAAAAGTGCATACAAAGTTGCTAGCGTTTCATTGCGATCACACCCTCAGATGTCAGACCTATCCGTTACGGTCTCTTCAAAATAAAGACACTGCAGGTTGGCCAACTTTATGTTGTGGTCATTGAAACCACCATGAGTTCCTTGCCTAGCTGAACCTTTGCTTATTGAGCTGAAGCAAAGTGTTCTTCACTCTCCTCCTGCTTGAAGCTTGATACTCTCTTCAGGGCCTTGCGCTTTTGTGAATAGCCGGCTATGCCGGCCCCTTGTACACCACTTACTGAAACGATCACTTTGGTTCATTTTCGCAGCTTTGCAAAGACATCTCCACGGCCTTGACAATGGCAGACGAAGACGACGAGTTCTTTGAGGCGTTTGAAGACCTCCCTCCCAGTCCACCAAAGCTGCCACACGCTCAGAAAAGTCCGACGCCGCAAGGGCTCAAGCCTCAAGACCATGCGCCAAGCAGTGTCAATGCGTCCGTCAATGCGGTGGCCAATGAAATCCAGCCTCTGGGGCAGTCGGAGGATTCCACCAGGGAACGAAGCCGCACTTTTGGGGGCACTGACTATGCCCGGGGCACTTCACTGGGGGACTTTTCAAGGGAGCGGCCGGACTTGGCGGTTGCTCAGGGGCCTTCACCGAGAGCATTCGCAAGGGAGCGGTCAGCAACGGTTGGGTCTGCACCCCAGGGAGTGACAGGGTTCAGGGACGCTGACCTGGCGGTGTGGAAGTCGGGTCCGAGCTCAGTGCGGGAACGCAGGGAACGGTTTTGGCAGAGCCAGGGGGGAGGGCCCCTGCCTGGGATGAGCAGTAGCAACCTCCCCCCCGCGCCGGGAAGCCTTCCGGCTAGGAGGGGATCTGCAACCCAGGCAAGAGGGTCGAGAACTGATCAAGATGCAGGGAAGGGCGCCGTGCTTGAGAAGAGGAGGAGCAGCGAGGGGGAGCGGCGGTTAACCATCGGGTTTGACTCTAAACCACAGCCGAAACCAGCAGATTCGCTGCCCCCTCCTGTTGCATTTGTGGTCAGCAGTCAGGGCAGCGCACCGATCGGCGACGGCAGGGGAGCCTCGGGGTTGACCAGTGCGCTCGCGAACCACATTCCCCAGCTCCTGAAAGACAAAGCGGCGTCGGATCCTCTGCCGCGGGGGGATGAGCAACGGGGCCGGTCGGAAACCGCGCCGGCCGTGTATGCAACAAAGGAGACTTCCAGATTGGGGGCAGCTAGTTTCTCTGAGACTAGAGTACACAGCGAGAGTGTGAATGGGCCCAGGCCTGCTCACGATTCTAGGCCGCCTCAAAGCCAGTCCGTCTCCTCCAATACCCATTCCGCAAGTCAGTCAAAAGGGCAGTCGATTTGTCCGGGGGGTCAGTCATCGGTCATCCCTAGAAGCGCTCCCCCCCTTGAACAGCTGCCAGCTTTACCCCCCCTCCAAACAATCGCTTCCCCTGAAGATATAGTCCCCGCACTACCAGCCGTCACGACAGCTAAGGCGCGCCCCTGGCCGAGACGGCACGTGAGAACGCCAAGTGGCAGCGATCCGGACAGCCAGCCTGCAACAACACCGCCACATTCCGGGGGGGCCAGTCCGCTAGCTCCAAAGAGCCCCCTGCAGCAGGGAGTGAACGCGGCAAAGCACCTTTTGGGACAGGTGGCAAACCACCTGGGGGGGCAAAAAACCACCAAGCCAAACGGACCGTCCGACGGGTCTCCAAGCTCCAGTGTCGGTACTGAGTTGGAGCGTGACGTTCTGCGCCTGGGGGCTGCTAACGAGGCGGAATTCACCCCCCCGGACTTCGTTCGGTCGCAGTCGGAGCAAGCCTTGACTCTTCCCGAGGGGGGCCTTCCCGTCAGCCCGACTGGCGATGTGGTCTACCGGATCAAGAACCTCGACACCGGAAAGGAGTTCTTTCTCGAGCAGAGCCTGGGAAACAGAGTAATCGACGTCAACTCGGGCAAGGAACTTTCGATCGACGAGGTCGAAGAAACGCTAGGGCTGTCCCCGGTTTCGAGAGAGGTGCAACGGCGGGAATGGTTAGCGGAAGGGGGCGAAGAGGAGTTCCTCAGTCCGGGGGCCAGGCCAGAGTCAGAAAGCGACCCAGGTCCGGGGGGGGGGCGAGAAAAGAAGAAGAAGAACTGGCTGAACAAGGCGGTGAAGAAGGGAGCAGCGTACTACGAGAAGGGGAGGCGGTGAGCCTCGCTTGCTCGTCGTGCTGAGTCCTTCTTTCTGCTTTATTACACTGCCTTCGGAATGAAACGTTGCACTGCACTCCGGGATGCATCAGCGTTCCACTGAGATTCTCGTTTTGAAGGAGGCGCCGTTGCACTGCTCTTGGCGACCATCATGAGGTTGTTCTTGTTTGAGTCCAATTGAGTGAATAATGGTGCGGGATCAGTTCAAGCTGCTTGAATCACAGTACGCCTTCTGCTTGGGAAATTGAAAGCCTCGAGGCTGAAGCCTTCTTTCTCACGCGCTGCCCCTCATAGCAAAGCAGATCGAGTCCTTCCGCATAATACTTTCGTAATTTGTTGCTTCTGCCATCGTGGATTGAACCTTCAGGGTAATAGTGTTGTCGAGGTCTGAAGGGTTCCGAAGAATCTACGCTTCCAATGTTCCTGTCACAGCGTCCTCCCTGGTGTTACTCTTCTCAAGTCTCACCTTTGACTCTGACTCTCCAGCAAGCTTCAGCGAGACGACAGCGGCAGTGGCAGCGACACCGACCGGCGACCATTCGTGCACGGGCGGGGCTTCACGGACGCCCGAATCGCGGGGTACGGTCCCGGGTATGAGGCCGGTCCGAACGGGAAGGGGTCCGTGAAAGTGCACGTGCAACGGAAGGCGTTCAAGGAGCTGACGGACGTGCGGGTGGGGCAGGAGATCAAGGCGCACGAAGGGCCGATCTGGTGAGGTTCTACACTGGTTTAAAATCGAGCGGCGTAACAACTGAAGGATTCTGTCCGGCCATGCGAACTTCGAAGCTCGGCTGGCGGCCTCCTGGGTCAATCTGCCTTCCGGAGACTTTTGCTGATACTCTCGAGCCTCGGTTAGCTGGGACTGAAAGAGTACGCACAAGTCAGGTTCATATGCGGTCGGTCTCTCCATCGACTTTGCTTTCGCTCGTACTCTCAAGCAGATAAGTCTTTCTTAGACGGTCAGTTTCCGGGGCTCGTTTGGCCGGGCCTGAGAACCTGCACACATTTTAGGGCATGCCAAGTTGTCCCAGTAAGACCAACCTGATGAACGTGATGCCCAGGCTCTCAGGTGCATAAAGGTCAACTCGGACTGTCGGTTCCTCGCAACCGGGGGCTCGGAACTGGAAATGTGCACACTTTCTGCGGTATGCCACTTCGTCCGGTCAGACTCACGACCAAATTACCTTTCGCCCGTGCTTCCAGGTGCATGAAATTCAACTCCGACGGCCGGTTCCTGGTAACCGGAGGCAAGGACGGCTTGGTCAAGGTGTGGGAAGTGGTCGACAAGCTTCCCCCGACCCCGCTTCAGGTGCGGCAGCTTTCCCGTACTCCGTCGTCTTTGCTTTCTGTCGCCCTTGGAAAACTCAGAACACCAAGACTTTCGAGTGACCGAATCCTGGACCCGAGTGCCTGTGAGTATCTGAAGCATTCGCGTAAGATTCGGTGTCTCAGGTGTTTGGACTCTGAACGGCGCACATCAGGCTTTACAGACTCAGATCGGCAACTAAGAACCAACTTGAGCCTCGTAGACCTATTCAAAACTCCTATTCACCTTACAGCACCGGGCAATTATCATCGCTCCTTCGATGATAACAAGTTCACGTGTGTATTCACAAGTCGGGTCTACTTTCACGGGGCATTAACTATGCAGCCCAAGCTCGCTGAACACCCGTTCTCCGTCGAAGTCTTGTGCGTTCTAGCAGCTGACGCCGTCCAAGAGTCACGCGCACATTCAAAACTCACTCTCATCCGTTTCTCATCAGGCGAGCGGCGACTTCGACGAGCTCGTCTCCGCCGCCGGCATCCCCACCGCCGCCGCTTCCGACGACGCCCCCGATGACGTCACCCGCGCGGGGGGCCGGGACCGCTCCACCAGTTGGGGCGCCAGCTTCTGGCTTGCTGACGTGGCATACCGGACGCTCCGCGGGCACTCGTCGGACGTCCTGGAGGTGTCCTGGTCCAAGAACACGCAGTTTCTGCTCAGCTCCAGTATGGACACGACGGTGCGCCTCTGGCACGTCAGCATGGACGAGTGCCTGCGCGTGTTCCCGCACAGTGACTTTGTCACGTGAGTCGACTCTTCTTCTTGTTCATATCTTCAGAAAACCGGTTTCTTTGGTGACCGTTGCTTTTGCACGTGGACGAGTGCCTGCGCGTGTTCCCGCACAGCGACTTTGTCACGTGAGTCGAATTCAAGTCTCCGTTTTTACCTTCAGAGACGTTTCCTTTTCCTTTGTTACGTAGCTCTTTGGACCACTCAATCGGATGGACGAGTGCCTGCACGTGTTCCCGCACAGCGACTTTGGGACGTGAGGCGGATTTTGTTCCCGTTCTGACCTTCAGAGAAGCCTTTTCCTCTAATACGTTGCTCTTTGGACCACTCAATCGGATGGACGAGTGCCTGCGTGCTATCTCGCACAGCGACTTTTTGACGTGAGGCGGATTTTGTTCCCGTTCGGACCTTCAGAGAAGCGTTTCCCTCTGATACGTTGCTCTATCTACCATTCACTACATGGACGAGTGCCTGTGCGAGTTCTCGCAGAGCGACTGTACGACGTGAGTCGTTTCATTTTCTCGTTCCGACCTTCAGAGAAGTCCTTCCCGTGCTTCCGCTGCCTTCTGGACCAATCAAAAACATGGATGAGTGCCCACACAGCGACTTTGTGACGTGAGTCAACTCTAGTTCTCGTTCGGACCTTCAGGGAAGCGTTTCCTTTGATGCGTTGCTCTTTGAACCATTCATATACATGAACGAGTGCGCATTTTCCCGCACAACGACTTTGTGAGTCGGCTCTGTCCCTGTTCCGACCTTCAGAGGGATGTTCCGATTGCGTTACATTTCAAACCGATGAGTGAGCACGTCTGCATACGCGATTGCCACGAAGGTGATCTGCAATCTTCGTGGCATTCTTCCTCATCATGTGCCTCCACTTCAATCGGTCGACGAGACGTCTTTCGACGACGACAGCTTGGGAAGAACTGAGATCCCTTGCGTTCCACATACAATCGGATCTGACGCCTGCACAAACGAAGCCCGCATTTGGCCTCTGATTGTTGAGAGATCTTTGACCTCTGAGAGTGGCAAAGCCTAAGCTCTTTTGTGTATATTCCAGGTGCCTCGACTTTAACCCTGTGGACGACAAGTACTTTCTGAGCGGCAGCCTGGACAACAAGATTCGTATCTGGAACATTCCGGAGCACCGCGTCGTGGACTGGACCGATGCGCGTGAGATGGTCACCGCGTGCACCTACACCGCCGACGGCAGCGTAAGTTTCTGTGACGTTTGTATTGCTTTTGAAGTGGGTCTTTGGGGTTCCAGGGTTTCAGGTCACTGTTTCAAAAGAACGATTGTCTTCGATTTTTGACGAGTGTTCCGTCAGAACCGAGTTTTGTAATGGTACGATGCGCGTGAGATGGTCACCGCGTGCACCTACACCGCCGATGGCAGCGTGAGAATCCCATGTAGAACACGCATCAGGCACTAAAGAGACGTTGCCAGGTTCACGTGCGCCTTTTCTCTTTTAGCCCATCGCCGAAAGCACAGGCCCCTTCAGCCGAACTAGTATCAGTTACCAGGATCCGCTCCGCATAGCGGCATTGCTTCCCTCTGCAATTTTCCTATTCCTCTGTTCCTGTTCCTCTGTACCGTTCCACACCAGGCGCTTTATGATTGACTTAGCCTGCATATCCTGCACATGCAATGCCTGAAAGTGAGTTCGATCCAGCAAAAGGATGTTGCACGAGCCGGCGTATGTGGGTGTGAGCTGCCACACCTACTTGTGAAGAGACGCGGCAACTTGCCATTTGCCGTTTCGAGCTCTTACGCTTTAGTCTTGACCCGATTCTAGCTTCTCGCCAGCTGTACACTGCACAGTGCCAAGTACCGTCAGTCAATGCCTAGCCGCCGATCGTCTAATACTGATCGTCAACAAACTTGTGCTCCCCTTGACGAGGTACTTGAGCGGATCCTGGAGCCTTCCGCAAAAGCACGTGCCTTGCAGGGCGCAAGAAAGAGCCGATACGACCAACAAAACGACAACAGTGGAGGCACGGAATCTAGCTCTAAAGCATGGAAACTGATCATTCGACACCTGTCTCTGGCATGCAGGGCGCAATCGTGGGTTCGTACGAGGGCACGTGTCGCTTCTACACGACGCGGCAGCACATGCTGCAGCTGGACGGCACGCTGGACGTCCGCAGCACACGTGGCAAGAACGCGCAGGGGAAGAAGGTCACGGGCGTCCAGTGCATGCCGGGGGATCCCCGCAAGATCCTGGTGACGTCAAACGACTCGCGGCTCCGGGTGTACGACGGGATGAAGCTGCAGTGCAAGTACCGAGGTGGGTGTCGTATTTTACGATGTTTTTTGGTCTCTTTATTCGGGAGTTGAGCTGATGTCAGCACGAGATATGCTGACGTCAAATGACTTGCTGCTCCGTGTGTACGACGGGATGAAGCTGCAGTGCAAGTATCGAGGTGGGTGTTTGCGAGGATTCGGATGCTGACGTCGTCTATCGAGTTGGGGGTGATGTAGCACACGTCAGCCGACTGGCGGCTTTAGGTGTACGACGGGATGAAGCTCCAGTGCAAGTATCGAGGTGGGGAGCGCACCTTTTGAAGGACGATGTTCTGGTCCGAAAGAATGACGTCTTCAATCTTGGCCGTCAAGAACGTGGCGCCGTCGCCGTTAGTGGCTGACATCAGCCTCTACCTTAGGCGCAGAGAAGGCATAAAGAAAGAGACACGTCTTGCCCGTTTACTAGAGTTTTAGAGCACCTGTAAGTGAGTTTTGCTCTTCGGAAGGAAGCAATCACGACGTTAATATTTCCTCCAAACCCTTTTCAAACCGTAGTCTTCTCATTCACTGCTCGGGCAAAATCACCTAACGAGGTTTCAGCGACTTTCCTCATCTGCTCAGGGGTCACGGAGAAAACGTTGGAGAAGCGATTCTCTTGTTGGGAGGCTAACACTGTCTCCTTTCCGGCCAGGTCACGCCAACGCCAACAGCCAGAAGGTCGCCACATTCAGCGCCTCGGGCGACTTCCTCATCTGCCCCTCGGAGGACGGCTTCGTCTACGTCTGGAACGCCGCCAACTCGTACGTCCCCCCCTACGGCGGCTTCCGGCGCGACCACCACCAGTCGTGCGAGTACTTCTACAGCAGCGGCGTCAACGTCGCCGTCGCGTGGGGGGGTCCCAAGGGAGGGGGGTCCGACTCCGACGGCAGCCAAAGCAAGAGCCGAAGCCGGGCGAACAGTGGCGGGAGCGTCGCGGCCCGGGGGGAAATCACCAGCGCGGGGGGGGTCCGAGTGCCTGGGAGAGGTGCCCGGGAGGTACCCCCCGGGAGTTGGCCGAAGGAGGCGTTGGGGGCCCGGGGCGAAGCGAAGGCGTCGGAGGAAGTGGCGGGGGGGCGGAACGGTCCGGGGCCGTGGGCGGAGCCGCAACAAGAAAGTGAAAAAGAGAAAGAGAGTGCGCCCACGGCGAATAGTGAAGCGTCGGCGGCTGCCGAGGCGGCGGTGGCATCAGCCGCTGCTGTGGGGCTCGTTATTGTGACGGCGAACTACCAGGGAGAGATCCGGACTTTCAAAAACTTTGGACGGCCCGTGTGGTTGTGAAGGCTAGGTAACCGTGATGCATGTGGTGATTGTTGACGGGACACTGTACGTACCTAGAGATATGGTAGAAGAGCACGGCGCACGCGAAAGTAGAGCAAAGTCAGCGATTGCTGACTCGGGACTGTACATTGCTGATCGACATTACATGCAAGGGAGTATAATACAATGAGGGACTCAAATACTTACAACGATTCAACATTGACGTCATGCTAATGTTCGATATTCTGCTTCAAGCTGGCTACCATACCCATCATTCAGTGTAATGGTACCGTACGGTACCGTACGCGTTGCTATCTAAGAATTTTTCGGTGCAGCGCACATGGTTGCATATGTGCATTTGAACAGCTTGTGAATTACCTGCATTTGAGGCTTTGCATGACTGCATGGCGGGGCGGACGCCGAGCCTTTTACTGTAATAAAATACTCAATGAAACGTTGCATACCGTACTACTTAAAATGTACTTAACAGTGTTCGAGCTGGCACGAGCTAGTACGTCCATCACTGCCGCCTTGTCCGTACTGCGCTTCCGTTCAAACGTTGCATGCTCATGCTCCGCGGATCAATCATGTTGATAAAGAAATGTTGCATGCAGAGTCAGTGCACATGGTTCGGTTGGTCATCAAACAATCTCGATATATCATGCAGTACAATTCCGGAGCTGGCGCCAGGCGGCCCTTGCAGGTGCAGGGATACGTTGCCTCTCATGGGTGCTTAACAAGCATGCCGGCCGGCAAGGCGCTTAAGCTGCTTCGCATGGTGACAAATCGCAACTCAGAATTGATTTGAATATCTTCGATCATACTCAACTTTAGGTCTGGTCCGCTAGTACAGTTCGATGATCGTTGATGGGTCTGCATGGGCAGCTGACAATTTCACAAGCCTGTGCGCCATTCCGAATCTGTAGTGCAGTTCAATCATTATGTAGGGGTCATGCCGTTTGGCAAGGTACAAGACATGCTCCATACAGATTGCGCATGTGAGACAAGTTCCTCGATCAGACATTGTCTGTAAATCAAAGCCTGAAGGCAGACGGCTGGCAATATTTACTAGGCCCATGCAACATTGATGATGACCTTTCGTTTTCGAATCTTGACGAAAGCTAAGTTACCTTAGTCAACTTAAAGCCATGTCATGGAGCACGGAACCTCCGACAAAGCCCGGATTTGAACGTTTGTTGACCCTGCAGCTTCCTAAGGCTGCAAGGCACGAGACAAGAATCGGACCGGAAACAACACCTAGCCAGATTGCCGACGGCCCAACAGCCGTTACCTTGAATAGCTTACTTACAGGCCAGCCATACACAAGTCACCAACACACAAGAAATGACCACCTTTTCTGACAGCAACTCCTGAGTAATCAACTCGAACCAGCCCCTTGAACCCCATCCGTCTTGATCATATCCCGGATCTCGTCCATGACCATCCAGGCCTTATGGCCCCCGATAACTTCCCCTACCCTCTCTTTGTTCTTCCAAAGCTGCAGCAGCATAACGGCTTCACGTAAGCTTCTTGAAACGAATCACTGTCTCTAAATGCGTCAATTTCCGATGAGAAAAGGCTGCGCAATCCACGACTAGACTGCAATATTATGGGGGGACGTATACAGAGCAACTTGACTTTCAAGTCGAGTTAGACAACACAAACACGATACATTTGAGACCGAATACCCGAAGGACTCAGGGTTCTGACTGTGTACATTGCCCCTCATTAGTTACGGAAAAGGTCACGAAAGCTACTGTCGACGGGAAGTCGCAAAGACTTGAATGAACTCTTACCTGAATGGTCGGCATCTTCTGCACAAGCGGACAAGGAGGACAGCAAAGCCAATCAGCATCCGAAGGGGCAAGACATTCGTAGAATTGTGCACGCAGACAGACCGCGAGCAAGCACCCGGTTAACAGCAACTGCTCAGATTATCAGCTTCTACGCAGATGCCTTCTGATCCACCAGCAATTATTGTAACTGAGGCAGTTTGATCCAACAGGGGTTGTTCCGGAATCTACTAGGATGTTGACTACTTGCAAGATGCGAGGCTCTCAAGAACTGACATTAAGTTTTACACTTTCTGCATACGCAAGTCAATAAGGTGCAAATCGCTGCAAAAAACGAGCACATGTGGTTTCATATGCCGTCCTGTCAGTATCGAGATGGACTGGTGGATGGGTGCAGCACCAAGTAACGAAACGGTTGGAAAATTCTTCTGAGTGGATACACAGAAGTGCGTTACAGCCGTTCAAGATGGTGGAATGAACTGCAACTTACTTGGATGCCGCCCCGCTTGACGAGCGCTCCAGGCACTTCGTTGACGTTGACCATGTAGAACCTGACACTGCATTACACAAAGCGACGGTGTTCACTCGTAGGGAACCTGGGTTGGAATGGCCCGTTCTTAGGAAGATTCGAAAACTTCCAACAAATCCGTTGCACCTCCAGTGAAGCGCAAGATGTTGCTGGACCAAACGGTTGAAAGGCACGGTCACATATGGCACGTTAATGCAACATGGTGCTATGCTGACTTGAAAACTGGACTCTCATTCACGATCGAGCGCACCGGCTCATTGGTCCCAGCCACATAAGGACAGCAGTTCGAGTAAAACTTCTCGAGAAGAGAAGGTTAGATTCAGCTTGATTTGTGGCCTTTCAGAACATCAGGTGACCTTCGGAAGTTGTTCTGGGTAGGTCTCTGTTGCAAACAAGTTTAGAGATAGCTGCTTGCGCACAGAAAAGTGAGATTCAGCCGGCTTCTATCGGACAAGAGCAACCAGTCCGTCTTATGTCAGCTCCCTATGGTAGCCTCGAGCAGTACGGAATGATGTAGCAGAGGGAGGTGATTTACTTTCTCGTACTTTACTCTCTGTGTGAAAATTTCGAACCAAAGAGAAGTTCTTGGGGACTCACTCGTGAAACTCGGCGGACAGTTTCTCCATCTTTGGGAGGAGGTATATACACTTTCTACACCAGGTGGCCATCCTGCGAAAGGTGAAGAGAGTAATTGTACTCTGGTGTCAAAGGGCGAAGACAGGACTTTGACACTAAGAGGTATGGGAAAAGGGAGCCCTTGAAGAAACTTAGAAAGGCAGCAGGAAGCACTCCCTTCTCTCCGCTTGTTTCCACATGCCCCTCAATATTCTGCATCTTCGAAAATTGTCCTCAACAAGACCACAAACAATCAAACTAGCAGGCACATGTTATGTCATGGTTGGGCATTTTGTGTTGGTCTTTGGGCTGCAGCCAAGTGACAAGCTCCCGTCCTTGTCTTTGTGCTGATTGTCCGACCTCCTTGAGACGCATACCCGCTCGGCAACAACTTATCTAGTGCCACTTCAAGCGGTCTAGCTAGACGGAAACCCTTCTTAATCATTTGAAAACAGATGCCCAGCTTTCTTCAGGATTTGAACTCTGAGAATTGCCCACTCGATTGACAGCGATTCAGGATTTTTGTTCGTCGTTCTACGATTATCCATGTTCCAGATTATCCAGAAAATGTCACACGTTCCAGTACTTGTGCTAGCAGTCAACTCGACCACTACTCACCAGTCAATAAGGAGCGCATGTCCCTCCTCCTCCGCTGTTTGCAGCGCAGCGTCGAGGTCCTCCTCTGTCTTGATTGGCGTCAGGGGGATGCTCTCAGGTGGGGCCTCGCTCCCAAGTCCAAACAAAGCCATGGCACGCTGACTCCTTCTTACTGGAAGGCTTTCTACTCCTAGTGACCCCCCTTTCAGTGATCTCTTACCCCACAGCCCTGTTGAACTGCTAAACCTGTGACTGCTTCCGCAACCGCCTGCTGGACCAACACTTTCTTCACAAACAAACTGCGCTTTTAACCTAATCCTAGTAATCTCAGTTTTGGCCAAAGGGGTCATGTCTGCCTTCGCCCGCCCTAGTCTACACGACAAAGTTTGAGCTGTCACAGGGTTGTCATTTTGAGCAGCAAAGCGTGTAGGATGTAGACCCTTGAGTGGCCGGACGTGACAAGCGCCACATGTACTGGTAGCCATTGAGGACGCCGATGCTGGGGTTGGCTGCGAAAATCCAACAACCCTTGAGTTTTTGCAAAGCTGTTCAGTATAGATATAGACTGCGTTCATGGCCTGTGTTCTTTCAGGCAGGTTACTTGATTCTTTGGGCCTAGCGAACCAGTATTGCATTGAATCAAGGACTTGCATTGAATCAAGGACTTGATGAGTGGCATACAGCAAACAGAAATGCAAACACACGTGGAGCGAAGACAAGTGGAATGGAAAGCTCGTTTTGAAAGAGATGTACTCAAACATACAAACATAACAAGTCTTGTTGCTCAAGCTGCATACTTTACAAGTTGCAGCATTGCAGGTGTACTTGTAAAGCAAGCAGCCGTCTTGTAACGCAGCCTACGAGAATGCTTAGGATCCTTGTCCAGGAGGACTAAAATGCAGGCGCAATCACCTCGGGCTTGCGACGCCCACTCTCAGGCCGACGCTGATGCAAAGTCTTGCAATGCGGGATGAGTCCACCTAAGGAGCACAATGCAGGTAAGAAAAGCGAAGGAGCTTCCAGAAAGTCTGCTCAACTCGTCACCTGAACTACACAAGTACGTGCGGCTCTGCATGCACGTTCCTTTTAGGCTTGTGCTATGCAATTCTACAGCACTGCCAAAGCAGCTCAGCTCTTCCTCCTTGAACCTGATCTCAGATCTTGGTTCTTCACGTTCTATGCAGATATATCGAGCAGGTATTGATTAAAAGACGGATACCGGGGAGCATCTGAATTCTAGGACCATCGTGCAATCGAGAATGGAATGCGAGTCCCACGATCGAAGAGGACCTAGGTGACCATAGAACATTAAGAGAAATTCCTCATATTCTGTCGAATAAACGCTTATAAGCGCTTACACAAAGCGATACGGACCGGAGAAGAATGGTCAACAGCCAACTAGGACTACCCTGCCATGCAGGTTGAAACAATGAAAGTCAGGAACGTTTAAAGCTTAACGAGTTTGCTGTAAACTTTCTGCGCAATTTCAAGGATTTAAGCAGGTGTTTTAAAACCCAACGTGGGCGGCCCCTTCTAGTGTAAACTGTCAGTTATATATACAGATCCTAGCGAACCTCCGAGGTTCGCTATTTGAGTTGCTTCCCCACCCATCGCAAGAATGGGGGATCACGCAGGTGGTTTTCCGCCGTCTCCTTTCAGAGACAGCATTCTGGCTGGAAAGGTGGCGCTCATTACAGGTTGGTGCTTGATTGAATCTGGCTTTAGATCCTTCAACGATTCTTCAAAGCCTCAATAGCTGTCAAGTCAGCGTCGGTGCGACCGACGTAAGTTGAAGAAAATGCCAGGCCTGTGGGATTTTGGGGTCGGCTTCATTTTGGGGCTTGATTGGGTGGTGCAACGTAACACAACTTTGCTAACATTCCTCTTGTGCAGCAGTGCATCTTCTAGATGAGTATCTGCAATCAATCTTTCACACGGAGTGATACAAAATGCCAACGAGGTTTCACTGGGCATTGTATGTATGAGCCTTCAGTTTTGGAGGGGCCCTACTCTCTGATTAGCAGCGCAAGGCACATGGAACACAGACTTCTTGAAGTCCGGCTGACTGGGGCCTGTTCCCCTGTTTATCAAGAGTCTGAAGAGGTTCAATCTCATGACTGTCTTATAGATGACCAGGACAGAAGTATGGTCAGTCCGCCACTCCCAAGTCTGTGGCGTCTGATCAAGAGCAGGGGTAACTTGGAAGGGGTGAATCGCAGGTCCATGTCAGTTTTATCTACGTACTTCACAGATTCTGAGCTCTATACCATTTAAGCCTGCAATCAGTCAGGAATGTTCAACAACAATTCCTCTTCGAGCAGCTGCCGCACCTTGACTGTACAGGTTCTTGACCACTTGACAGCCTTGTACTTCAGCTGGATTGAATAGATCACAGCCAGTCAATCCCCAGAACAGGCCTTCACCACTTATAATGTGGCTTTGACAAACAATGACCAACAATCTTCGAAGCACCTCTTCTATCGGGGCTACTGCAGGCGGTGGGTCAGGAATCGGGTTTGAGATAACCCGGCAGCTGGGGCTGCATGGCGCCAAGGTGGTGATCATGGGGCGGAGAGAAGCGGTGGCGCAGGAGGCGGCAAACAGACTGAGAAGCCAAGGCGTTGAAGTGAGTTCTGCAAGCAAGATTAGATCATCCATCTCACGTTCTACTCTCAACATATAGGCTCTAAATTTACTGCTTTGAATAGTGTGTTTGCAGGGGGGTGCCAGGTGGGGGGGTAGGACTGGAAGTGGTCGGTAGCGAGCTTGCCTAATACCGGTGTGTATTCTAAGGAAACTATTATCTTCTGGCACAAGATCTCGATCATTAGTAAGCAAATTAGAAGTAGATGTCATTGGGTGATGGTCGTTCGCCGCTTGCACTCTGCTAGATGTCAGCCAGGGGGCCGTCAACTCAACTGTCAACTGAGCCAACGGAACCCTTGACCAAAACTCCGAACAAATCCTTGTGAGGCAAAGGCTGTTCTTGAGGACGTCTGATAGTTAACTGGGTTGTCAATAAACCTTCAGCTCAACTTTTACGAAACCTTTGAACGAATCACCCCAGAAACTCAGACCAAAGCTTCGACAGGCCACTTCTATTCCTGGGGACGTCTGACACTTGACTTGATAAATAAACCCTCAGCTAAACATTCACGAAACCATGACCAAAACCCCAAAACAAATTCTTGTCAGGCCATGGCTGTTCCTGGGGACGTGCGACTCCCTGCTGATGCGCAGCGGGCGGTCGATGCTGCAGTAGAGTTTGGCGGGAAGGGCAGACTGGACATACTGGTCAACAGCGCGGCCGGAAACTTCCTGTTTCCAGGTACGTATTGAAGAAGGCCAAATATCTTCCACCCGCAGAGCTCCGAATGGTTTTCAGGCTGCTTGCTGATTGCCAACGCCGTGGGGTACCGATACTTCGGAGATCTCTTAAACCTCAAGTTGGCCAGTCAATGGCGCCGCTGAAAGAAACGTATTCCAAGTTGAGTAGGTAGCACTTTTCTTCACCTTCATCTTCAATCCATGCTGATTGAAGAGATCGAGCCGTCCTTCGATCTATGTCGCAAATATCCGACGGCTCAGGTTCTCAAGCGAGCACGAATGTAAGATGGGTCAGGCGGCGGAATCGACGAGACTCCTAGAAGCAATTTAAACCCTTCAAGATCTGTTGAGGTTCAAAGCACTTTCATTAAAAGACTTGAATCCTGTATATATCGGATTACGTTGTCTTCGTTTTTAGGCCTTAACGAGTTGCGAAGCTGTTCACGTGCGTCTCAAACAGTACTTTAACCTCATGGAAATCAGAGAGGGGATACTTTCCTTCCAGAGAGTTGGCTTTTCACAGAGAGAGGTTCCGAGACTCTGTTTAGAAGTTCCTTCCTCGGATATCCGGCCCGACGCGCCTGCACTTTCTGGACCACTCCATTCATTTTCAGGAGGAGCGAAAGGTCTCACAACGCCTCACACCGAGGATTCCATTTGACCCTAACATTGCATCCCTGTGAGGCCATTAAACCGTCGGACCAACTTCGTTGGAGGGCCGAGCCTGATCCTATCTTGGCAAAACCCGCAGTTTGAAGGATCGTGCGGGTAGTCAGACTTTCCTAATTGTAGCGACCGAACGAAGCATCTCATCTCCCGACTTGACACCTGACGACTCGACAAGCCAACAATGAAACAATCCTTGCAACCAACATCCTAGCCAATTTTGTTTGCGCCCAAGGCCTTATCAACAAAAAGTCTTACATTTGCGAAAAGCCAGGGTTCGCACCAACAGAGCAAGACTCGTGACAATCCTTGTGCAGTTGAGTCCCTCAGTCCAAAGGGCTTCCGGACGGTTCTCGAGATCGACACACTGGGAACCTTTACCATGTGCCATGCCGCATTCAAGGCGTTACGACGGGGGGGTTTGAGTGAGGCACTGCCTTCCTCAACGTTTTCGCTTAATGCACGCATTTGTTCCCGTTTCCATTGTGATTGTCTGCGTGGTCGTTCTGACAGACTTTCTGTAAAGTCTTGCCATCGGCAGTTGCCCTTATAGAGGAATGGAGAAGCGGTGGCAGATTCCTCATTGGTCGAAATCTCGGATGACGTGCTGACGTGGCGGGCCATATACTGCATTTGAAAACAAGTGCATGAAGGAGCTTTGCACGATCTCCAGCGGAACCTAACATACGGATGCCGAGAAGTGGGAACCCCCATAATATCGAACAAAGATCACCAAATCTATCGGCCTATCATCAACTCCAATACAGTCTCGGTCCTTACGAGTCAGCCAACGATAGGAGCTTGACGTCAGCAAGGCCAAAGTTCGGTTTTCGTGATGCCATCGTCTGATGTCCGTTCCTTTCGAAGATGACGTCAGCAAAGAGACAGGTGGCCATGACGCGTCAGCACATATCCTGGAAGCTCTAGTGTTGCGGCGAAGGACGAAGAGGAGGGGAGGGGCGAAGGCGGCTTGATCATCAGCACAGTTTCGGTCTTGGTCCTCTAGATGAAGAGAGGGGCAAGGCGAAGGCGGACTCAATTATCAGCACCGACAAAGTACCGCTTCCTTAGACCCAGCGTCCGGTGTTCTTATTCTAGAGGTGACGTCAGGAAATCGACAGCAGAGAATCTGAGGTTTTTTTGTACAGCGGCCAACCACGAAGAGAAGGGCGAGGGCGAAGGCGGACGTATCATCAGCGCCAACAAAGTCTCGCTCCTAAAGACCCAGCACTTCTTATTCTGTTCTCTGAGATGATGTCAGCAATAACGATAGCATAAGTCTTATTAGATCTTTTGTGCAGCGGCCAAGGACGAAGAGGAGGGCGAGGGCGACGGCGGACTTACAACCAGCATCAACAAAACCCGGCTTCCTCAAGACCCAGCTTTCGGTGTTCTAATCCTTGAGATGACGTCAGCAAAACGACAGCATAGATTTTTGAGGGTTTCGTGCAGCGGCCAAGGACGAAGAGCAGGGCGAAGGGGAAGAGGGCCTCATCATCAGCGCCAACAAAAGACTCCGCATCCGGTGTTCTAGTCTTCGAGGTGACGTCAGCAAAACGACAGCTTAGATCTTGGATGCTGTTGTGCAGCGGCCAAGGACGAAGAGGAGTGCGAGGGCGAAGGGGGCCTCATCATCAGTATAAGCGCAACGTTGCAGTACGGCGCGAGCTGGTACCAAGCGCACGCTTCCGCTGCCAAGGTGGGGATTTCATTTTCGGCATTATCGATTGATCTATGAAACCAATGATTCTCTGTTGAAAGCATTGTAGTCTCTCGCTTCGCACGCCTCCTTCATAAGGTGACGCTACAGCACGGCGCGACCTGGTACCAAGTGCATGCCTCTGCGGCCAAGGTGCGGGTTTCATTAGCAACTTCATCGAGCAATCTACGAAACTAATGATTCCCCTTTTCAAAAAAGCACTTTTAGGGTTTTAGGGTTCACTTTCTCGCTTCGCATGCCTAGTCACGCTACAGTACGGCGCAACCTGGTTCTAAGCGCACGCCTCCGCCGCCAAGATGCGGGTTTTAGTAGCAAAGTCTTGGAGCAAAATTTAAACGATGTTTCCCCTTTTCAAAGCATTTTGGTCTCTCGCTTCGCACGCCTCTTTCAATGCCGTTGCGCGATCGCTTTTTCAGCTCTTGCTTCAGTTCTGTTGATCAGCTCCGTCGATGCTTTTTCTCTCCTGCGCCCAACACAGGCTGAAAACTGCATGCCTTCTCAAAGCCACCGTTCTCCTTATTGCTGGGAAGAATCCCATTGTAATTTCTTTTCCGGTCACATCGTCTGCGCAGCCTTCCTCTAATATTACGCTTACCTTGAGCTAAGTCTCTGCGAGGGCGAAGCTCCAAATATGCTCGTTGCTAGCGGCGTTCTGCGCAACTCGCTCCTCAGAGACCCGGCAATCGACTAAAACGCACACAATATCGATCGACGACTACAAATCTGTGCTCCAACGATCAAAGGATCCGCTTTAAAGATCACCGTTTGATCAGCAGCAACTAGCTCGGCGGGCTGCTCGACGCGAAGGCTTTTTCAGACCGGTTTATTGCACACGGGTTAAGACCCAAATGCGCTAAACATGCTCGGAATAGATGGGTTACGGCTTTATTAACCGTTGTTGTTTTCTATGTTCCGGGCAGGCAGCGATTGACAGCTTAACCCGGAGCTTGGCCCTTGAATGGGGACACCCGTACCGGATACGAGTCAACGGGATCGCGCCAGGTAATGCACTGCTTCTGTCAAAGTCTTCTGCGTTTCAGGGATCAGGATCTTCGTGGATCAGAAATCGAACTCCGACCAGCGATCGTTCGGCTTGCTTTCTCGGCTTCCTTTGATCGTCAGAAGGTTTTAGGGCTTTAGGGTTATAGGGTTTAAAACCTAAAACCCTAAAACCCTAAAGCATGCTACGTCCTGGGTTATCTGGTCGAATGTGTGGCCTTTTAGTTGCTACTCTCGATTTGATCAAGTTGCACTATCCAACATAACCTGCTGTAGTACAGACCCCGCCCCTCGTGCTATTTTCGGATTAAGTAGGCTGTATCGAGTACCATATTTTGGTCGAAGCCCCTCCCTTGTGCTACTCTCCGCTTGCTGCTCTCCGCTTGACTGAGGTGCAAAGTTTCATGGCAGTATTCAAAGCCTCTACCTCGCTACTTTAAGGTCGGATGCGTTGTCTATTTACCATACCTCTAATCCTGACTTGCTTCCGTGCTAGTTTCGAATTGACGGAGGTGTATCGATCTCAATTAGCTGGATTCGAAGCCCCTCCCTCCGCGTTTCTTTGGGGTTGATATCGAGATGTTGATTGCCATTCCCTGCTTCTAAGCACATTCCGCTGCGCTGGATTCGGGTTATGCCTGATTGGGGTGCTTATTCTGCCATAGCCGTATTTCAAAGCCTCTCCCTCCGTGTTACTTTCGGATCTATACTATGCTGAAAAGAACCATATTCCTGCCTTGAACCCAATCTACTCCGCTCTTTGCAGGGCCCATCGCAGACACGACGGGGCTGTTCAAGCTGAACCCGGGTACCGAACTCCCCGACGTGTCGGAACTCGTCCCTCTGCGGAAAGTGGGGGAGACGTGGGACATTGCGATGGCTGCGGTTTATTTGGCGTCTGGAGCGGGCAGGTGCGCTTGACGAACGTGTCTCAAATAACTCTAGATTTCGCGATTCGCCAAGAATGGTTGAAATAATGCATTTCAAGGCCACGCATCCCGAAGCACGAAAGTGAACGCAAACTCTGCACGTCCGACTTTGATCCCCACCAATCGAAGCTTACGATCTGAGATGACGCGTTTTACAACGTCAACGAACCGAGAGCGCATGGGCTTCTCCACTTTGGTATATCGGTAATTCTGGAATGTGTATCCGTCGAACTTTTCCTCAGCTTTTGGTCGCCCTAACACAAAATGGTCTGCAAACATAATCACCAGATTCGTGTTTAGTGGCTCCCGCACTGTCGGCCTGCTAGCCCAACTTTGCTTTGGTCGCCCTTTGTCTTCTTTCTTGTCTCTCGTCCACTTACTTTTTTGTCTTTGTGGGATGCCCATTTGGTGCTCCTTTTTTGCTAGCATGCTTCTCGTAGACTACTTCAGATTGCGCTACAATTGATACAGTATTGCACGTTCGACCGGTGCTTTCTGCTGAAAAGGCGCCGTTGAAAAAACTGCGGAGCACCGCAGCTCCTGCTCGAGAGAAGAGGACCAGGTGACGACAGCGGACTCTGGCTCATCTTTTGTCTCTTTGTCGAAGAGCAAAGAGACAAAAAGCACGCGAACAGGCCCCTTTTGTCCGGGCTTAAATGGTTGATGCCATGCGGCTGCTACAATACAGTTTTCGAGTGGACGAAAGAGGCGGCAAAAAGTGATGAGGAGTCTGCAAATTGGTTCGTTTTGGTATTTCTTCGATTCTCGAAGGCCTTCAAAACGCGTGCGTTTCAAAATAGTCTGCTTTCTTGGATCGCAAGAAAACGCCTTTACTTGCTGTTGTGAAAGAGGATGTCAGAGCTTTTGGTTTGCTGATTGAAGCCCTTTGCCCCCAACTGCTTGCAGGTGGATAAGTGGGGAGACGGTGGTAGTGGATGGCGCGCATTGGCTTTGGAAGCCGCAATTCTTTTCCCGGGATGACGTCAAGGGTTTGTCTCGGTCGGTAGAGGCAAAGAGCAGAGTTCCCGGGAATCTCGCGAAGAGCAAGTTGTGATGTCTACCATTTCGATTTTCCTAGAGCATGTGTTCCATGTGATCGCGCTAGTATTAAAATCATTGTGTCGACATCGCGTTGAGGCTCTTGAGCCACTGTCGAGGGGAATAGACCAACTCGTGAACGCTTAATGCTTCTCAAAGTGGAGCACTGTATAATATTCAATCAGGCAGCCAATCACAGCGATTTATACTTCCATTGGTCTGCTCGGACAGTATGTGGAATGTCGAACTTACGAGCACCGCTTTGACTGATCTCAGTCTATGAGTTCGCTTTCGACCCAAAACCTCTCAGGCCAAGCTTGATTGCTGATTGCACAAACAGAGTTGAGTGCAGGCTACCCATGATAATCTTTTGGCAGGTGAGACTTGGATTCAAACGAGTCGCACATCTAAGCGGACGGGCCGGTAGTATACTTTTGTCCTTCGCAAATTGCTCGATTTGAACTCATTGATCAATTTCATCATTCACAACGACGGTTGTGCGCAATTGGCTTGCCTCTGACTGAGCTTTACCATATAGACTGTACTGAAATGTTGCGGTGCAGCCGCCCCCACTGGCACTAACATTGCGGGCGTCAGGCTAGCTGTCCATGTAAGACAAGCCTGCCTGCCTGGCAATTTTGAAGCGATTCAAGGCCGCTGCATGCCCATGAGTTGAAGCCTGGCGGCGATCACTGCAAATCTGTATTGAATGCTGGCTGATTTTTGATTTAGCACACATGTACCTACAGCGATTTGATCATATCTATCATTCTGCATTCTAATCTCATGTTCAGCCTCTTCCAAAACAAAGCCAATCGCGCCAGAATCATGTGATATGTGAAAGTTGTGGCCATGCATGCCCTAGCTGCTAGTAAGTCCTGACATGCGGCGGTGGGGCGCGCAAGATAGCTGCAGATCCAAATCGGCATATTAGTTGGAACTTGGTACTTTCAGGCCATGGCATTAACCGATGACCACATGATTGGCGGGCCACAACTCAGTATAGATTATTGCTTGCAAATGAATATGCTGGCAATGACGGGCACCGGGCTACCTGAATGCCGCCAACGCGTTTGAATAGACGGTTGCAAGGAATACATACATATTAATTTGGCATGCACGCAGCTGTCACTTTTGGCGCAAAACATATGGGACCCAACACGCTAACAACGCTATTCACTGACTACCAAGGCCGCACCAATGCAGTATGCTCATGCATGAGAATGGCACTGTACATGGAATCACAAGTGTTCCACAATTTTTCTCAGAAGCGCTGGCATAAATCTGAGCACCATCACCAAGTCCAAGCAAAAAGTACACACATCAAACTTCCAACGTACATGAGATACACACTAGGTACCTTTGCTTTGGCAAAATGAATATATAGCGGCCTGTTGACACTCTGCCCATGACAACTCTCAGGACCCAGAAAAAGCCAGGAAATTTGCAATTGCTTCAAGAGTCAAAGAAGATATCCTGGGGATTGCAAAAGAACACCAGATGCAGGAGCAGAAGAACACAGGGCAATGCATAAGGTCAACATCATGCTACATGGTTCAACCTTCCATCCTGAAGTCCGATAGTACAAGCCTCGTCATCGCACAATTCAAACCCTATCAAAGAAGGGACTTGTATGCTAGCAAAAGAATATCTGCATCAACCACAAAGACAGCCCCCTAGCCTGGACGAGTCCTAGGAGCATAACCCGGTCCCGCTGCTGCAAGAAGGCTGCCCATCCTTACCCCCTCCGCCCTCTCTCTCAAACGTTATTGATCAAGGCTGCAAGATTGACGAACAGCAACTCAGGATCTGAAAAGTGGGGAGAGTGCGAGCTGCAAACTCAGAATCTGCAGACTTGGAAGAATGACGCACTGCAAATGCTTAAGGATAGGTACCACAGCAAGCTATAAACAGTAGTCAACACTCATGTGCTCAGAGGCAGAGGGGCACTTGCACACGCCAGAATGCATCAAGAATGTAGCTCAGTTTCCAGACCGCGTCGCAGGGAAAGCTCAACCGCAATCTGACCGCTGACCTTGTTTGCGATGTTGCTCGACAGCCAGTCCAGACCCTCATACAGACCCTCTCCTGACGTGGCGCACGTACTTTGGATGTACCTGCAGTAGTAAGGTTGCAAAGAAATCAGTAAACACAATAGGATGGTCACATTGCAACAATGGCTGAAGTCTGCAGAAAGGAACTGCGCCTTGAGCAATCAAGTCAAGTGGCATGCGATCTGCTTCCATAAGGGCGCATTCTTAAGCACAGTTCTGTGAGCAAAATAACTACTGGCCCTCGTGCAGCTTAAAGAACATCTAGCACCCCTGTACCAGACCCTGCTCTTCCTGTCCCGAAGCCCATCTCCAATTGTCTGAGTGGAGGCCAGCCGCAATATCTCCGATTTAGCGACGAGACAAAGTCCTGTTAGCAGAAGTGTCCCGGCCACAGCCACTGGCGCTACCAACAACTCAAGTGTCATGGAGCAAACAACATCTGAGGATTGCACCATTTTTGAGAGCCCTTGATAGCGCGCAGTCACAGCGCTGCAAGGAAAAGAAGCAGTGCGCCATAGACATGCCGACTCACCAATGGCGCTGGCGCAGAGAGTGCAATCCAAGCTTGTCGGTGATCTCAGCGGCGTTCATTGCATTTGGCAGATCCTGCTTATTTGCAAACACTAGGAGAACCGCGTCGCGAAGCTCATCCTGCAACAAGTCACAAATTCCAAGCTGAGACAACTGAGTGCAGACACGTACACAACCTGCTCAATTGGATTTGAGCAACTCTGTAACCAAACAGCAGCTGCAGGCAAACCCTAGAGCTACCATAGAGCTGGGTCGACGAGCGATGCGACTGTAAATAGCCCACAAGATAGGAGATGAGATCTGAGCTGCAGTAAGCACCCAAAAAAAGCTGCTCAATCCAGCATGCCGGAACCCTACACATTGTCAACATTTGCCTCTGGTAATTGCAAAGACATTTGCACTGGATGCTGCCAATGAGAATGAACGACGGTTGCCTGTTGGCCAACTCTTGCAGTGCTCTGTTTTAGAGCTGAACGAAACCCTAGGAGCAAGATTTGTACAAACAGGGCTGTTAATCAAAGCTGAAAGTGATTGCAAACCCCATCTCTCGGGCACAGCAACTGCTGATTCAGCAACTGGTGCCAGATGCACCTGCGCTTTGGTCCAGGCTCAACTATTAAACTGGAGCATGATGCATCTGCCAATTGATTTCTGATTCACTTACCTCATTCAGCATCCGGTGCAATTCATCTCTAGCCTCCACGATACGGTCCCTATCGTTGCTGTCCACCACAAAGATCAGTCCCTGGGTGTTCTGGAAGTAATGTCTCCACAGAGGCCGGATCTGGAAAGGACACAGGAAGTACACGTCTGACAATGTTTTCAGAGGAGTCTATCACGGATACGAGGCAACTGACTCCCTCATATTCAATGAAGGTACTCAAAGCATCTTTATTGCAAAGAAACGAATATCAGTCACTTATACCAGCAACAAGAACATCTTTCCTCACCTTGTCCTGACCCCCCACGTCCCACACAGTGAATGAGATGTTCTTGTATTCGACAGTCTCCACGTTGAAACCTGTTTTATCAAAGCAACAAGAAAAGGCCATGAGATCCGAATGACGAACAGAGCAAGTGCACATGAGGTCATGCTGAAAACCCCTACAGATCTTATATATGCATCTTAGGAGGTCAGAAAGTATGCACACGGACTCAGGACGTAAGACAATGAAATTTTCTGACACAGATCTGATTGACTATCCGCGAAGACAGATACTATGATTTGATTAATCCCTTCTTGTTCTGGTTGATCTGCTTGCGAGCAATGTTCGATCCATGTGCGATCCATGCAATACAGCCTGCTTCAACTTGCGACCTAAACAAGCAACATGAGCAAGAGCCATACTCTAATTGACGCAATCCAAACATTTGGCGTTGTTGCATAATTATGCAACAAACATCGACCGACGTGATTATACAATCCGTAGAAACAGGAGCCTTTCCACCAGGAAGCCAGAACAGCATGCAGCAAGGGACTGCCCCTGGTTGACGAGGTTTGCATCATCCAAGCCGACTTACCAATGGTTGGGATGGTCGTCACAATCTCTCCAAGCTTCAGCTTATACAGGATTGTGGTCTTTCCTGCGGCATCCAAACCGACCATGAGAATGCGCATCTCCTTCTTGGAGAAGAGCCGGGCGAACAGTTTCGTGAAAGTCAGCCCCATCTTGAACCAGCCTGATATTCCCCTGCACAAAGGCAATACGAAGCTCTTTGCACGCAACGTATTACGACGGCGCCTGCCGCTCTCCTTGCTGCTGCTTGGAAGCGCCTTGCAAATGGTGTTCAATCCTTCTTGATTTCAGGGTTCAGAAATTTCCTCCAGGCTGAACATGGACCAAAATTTGCCCAGACTCCGAGTCCTTCGCAGAGTATTCTCTGTTCAGCCTTCGACATTGGGAAGCGCGTGGGTACAAATGTTGCGCACAGAAGTACGACCGGGGGTTTTGTTCCGGGTAGGCTCTCGGGCATTTTGTGCCCCCATAATGTATTCAAAACTGGCCGGTAGCTGATACCGGCCAATATTCTGCACAAGTCCGATCGTCAGTTGTAAGGGGGTACTTCACGCGGTCCCTGTCCACATGCTTGATTGCCGGGCGAAAGCGACAGCGTTACGATTGGAATCCCCGACAATTCCCCTTGAAGCTGCGTAACGCACTTCGACTTCTGTTGATCAAGCTTCGGCGGTTGCTTTCAGCAGCTGTTTTTGGAAATCGAGCGCGCGCGCCAGAACTTAAAGCAAGCATGACGACGGTATACGAAGCTCGCTCTAGTTCCTTCATGGCCACCATCACACCATGGCGCGACTGTCGACAGCGTTCGTCGTTGCCTGCAAAGTGAGGAATCTGGGCTGCGGCCACCCCTTCGCCTTTGCTTGACTTGTGAATTCTGCACAAGCGACGAGCGCTCTGTGACTTCAGCAGCATCTCAAGGTCGGCCTTCCTCAGGGAAGATCCAAGTGAGTTGAGGAAGTCGATCAAGATGGGCGACGCTGAAAAAGCCCAGACACTGCAGACTTTCTTCGATGTGACAAGTGCCAACGAAGAAGATGCATTGCAGATACTAGAGGTGAGCGGAAGAGACAACATCTCACTAAGCTGGTTTGTGTCTTTGCGGCTTATCAGTAAGCTTCAGAGGGGAGCACACCTACTTTCAAAATTGGGCGTTGCATTGCTATCTGATCTTCTGTTTCCATCACCAAAAGGTTGAGGGCAGGTGGTTCAAGAGCTCATTCATTGAGCTAGATTCTTTTTGGAAGGTGCACTTTGAAATCCTTGAACTTCGCTTCGTCTTTGCTGAATACTTTTGACCCGTCAATCCAGAAGGCTGCATTTCTAACATTTGTAAGCGCGCATGTTGAATGGAGCTAGGGCATCCCTGTCTCGCTTCAAGAGAATGCTGCTCAACAATGGCATAGATCCTGCATTTACAGACTCAGTTTTGATAGCTTAAGTTTACCACCACTTTATCAAAATGTTCATGAGAAGGGGAAATTTATGAAGCTGTGCTTCTGTCTGAAACTCAACATAAACCTAAAACAGAAGCTTGAGTGTGTCTTTCACACACACTCTGCATGTGGCAATCTTTTTTGGGAGTGGGCGGGAGAGCACAAGAACTTGATTGCTCTGGCCAGGTTTCATAGGAAGACCTTTTCTGCTGTTGCAGGCGACCAATTGGCAACTGGACGATGCTGTCCAGCTGTTCTTTGCTGGGGGCATCTCAAGTGCAAGTGAGCGTCCAAGCAACCCTGTGGCACCGGTGCAGGCTGCACCAGGCCCCTCGGAGAGGTGACTACCCCCTATCTTCGACGTCATTCTCTCGTGGCCGCTTTTTCAAGTTTGGTGGTTTTACAGTCTTGTTTCAGCCTACAGAGTTTTTGCTGCAGTGTTCGTAGTGCATGGTAGGTGAGGCCTCTAACACAAATTGGTCGTTTTGGATTGCTTTCTTGTGCCTGTTCTGATGCCACTGCCATTAAAAACAACTTTAAGTAGCTTACCCTGAAGCATATTTATAAAGGTTTCTGGCGGTTCCTAGAGGGCTCATTTTTGAAGTCTGCAAAGTTTGCGAGTTGGACAGCAAGTTCTTTCGTGCAAGGCTCAGGAAGGTTCTGGCTCAGAAAGTTTGTGCAAAATTCAGCAAGAAAGTGGTTAATCTGAAAATAGCAAAGCATTAGCTGTGGGGCCAGGGTCAAATGTTGACCAGACCTCCTGTTGGAACTGCTATTTTAAGGGGCCCGCTGCGCGGACAGATTCTAGTGCATCTTCTTGTTTCTTGGTTCGCCCTCTGCACAGTCACAGTCTCAGTATGTTCTTCAATCTTACTGAAGATGGTCAGCCTGTCGCACATGTGTGGTGTCACTCTAATTGCTTGTATAAAGGCTGCAACCGCTCATCGGATGCAAGGTATTAAAAATGCCGTCCACTATTCAAAGCTATTTTTGTTTCAGACCCACGGAGCAGTACGACGAGGACGGGGTGCGGGCGCCGCTGCCGACGAGGAGGGAGGCTTTGTACGACGATGCATACGCAAGGTGAGGCTTCGCCGTCGGAGAGAGCTAAAGCATTACTTTAGTTCCTGCAATGAAATCGTTTGACCACGTGATGAGAGTGCCTGGACTTTCCAAGGTGGCACACGATGTGATGAAGCAGGAGCCTTGAAGTGAAGATGTTTATGCCGAGCCCAATGTTCTGCCATCCGGCCATCTCGACTTTGATCCGACTCTGTTCAAGCACTCAACCAAGCCTGGTTTGACATTAGGGCACAGTTTATGTATCACAATCATGTTCGCTTTTCATGGCGTAGAAGTCGTTCGAAGTTGGTCGATGGTGAGAAAGCCCTTTTTCTGTTCTGCATGCACTTACCAGCCTTGTCCTCCAACGAAAGCGAAGGACAAGTTCTTCTCCCATGCCCTCCCAGGCCCTTGTACGGTCAGGGAACAGTGCTGCGGTCAAATTGTGCAGAATGGGTTTTGACCGCAGGGCTTTCCCTTCTGGGAATTTCAACCGGAGGGCAACTGATGAATCAATGCACGCTTCACATTGCAGGCCCATGTATGGACAGGGTATGGCGCAGCACGCCGATCGCGCGCCCCCCCCGGCTCGGGTGGACGCGTTCCGCAACTTCCGGGAGGAGGGGCAGATGCAACTAGGGGAGGGGGCCGGCCCCACCGGCCTGGCCAAGCTGTACGAGCCACCACTTGAGGTCATGTTCAAGGGCTCATTTGAGCAGGTAAGCATTCACGAAACCTTGTTTTGAATATCACAGGTGAACACAAGGTTTATGCGAAAGCCCTTGGTTTACATTCAGGGGCTAAGTCGATTGTTGGGTGGGCTCGAGTAGGTCGAGGCACACTGTGTTTGAGGGTAACTTTCCGGGTTATGGGGCGTTTCCTTGACAATCAGGAGCCAGCAAAGCGGGGACTCCTCGTTTCATGTTCAACGGCCTGTCGTGCGGGAGTGCTGATGCATCGATGGTGCCTTTGGCTGATCTCTTTTGGTTTGGACGTTTTCCAGAGAGCCAAGGCATTGATCGTCTCCCTTCTTGAGTGTGTCTAGTCCGGAAAGTTGTTACGGGCTGCTTACTAAATGGAACCCTCCAATTTGTCCTCGGAGCATCAAGCAGTTTCTCTGCGCAGGTCCAGGCATCCATTGCTACAAGCCATACGCCACAGTGCCAGCAGCCCATTCGCCGGGATCGTCAGAAGGGTCTGTTTGAAGACCCAGGTTCCAATCTTACAAGTGTGTGTTCTCATCTTCACCAGGCAAAGGCGCAGGCGGTTGAACAAGGGCGGTGGTTGCTGGTGAACGTGCAGTCCCGAACGGAGTTTCCGAGCTACATGGTAAGAAGTCCTTCCTAGTTGCTGTAAGTTATGATTCCGCTTGAACCTACGGAAGTCGCGTCAGTCCCTGCGGCCGTTCAAACTGGTGTTTGGCATCACACTGCACTGAGTAGGGAGCGCCTCCAATGAACCACTTGATTAGTTGGTGAGTACGTTATGTCGTTAGTTATTTAGCTGGTTAGCTCGTTAGTTTTCTAGTCGCTTATCCCACAGCTTCAAAGCATCAGCACGAGCGACTCGACGTGGCACGAGGAACTAATTTTACCGACAACGGATTGGGTGAACCGAAAAAATCCGGTCTAATCTAGATTTTGGGCAGTGACTCGTCCTCTGAACAGCGTTTGCTTGCGTTTGCTTGCATGAGGTGCTGCCACGAGATGCAAAAGCTGGCATGATATAAATGTTCCAACCTGCGAAACTGATGGATGGCATTATCAATCGTGGACTCACTTTTGCCGTTCGACCATGTGCGTCTTGTGATGGGTTTCTCACGTTTCCTGCTGAGATGTGAAGCGTATGAGGGGTTGAATGACTACGCGCCATCATTTTGGACACGATGGAGCTCATTAGGTCTGAGCACCCAGGAGGTTCAAAGTTGCTCTTTATCAATCGATCATTAGCCTGAACGATAAAGAATGAGAGGTCTGGAAGGCTCATGGAGACGATGTCTACGATTCTGCACAGCACTGGTCAAATGCGCTGTGGGAATGATTTGGGACATAGGTTTGAAGTCCAGATGGCTGGTTGATGTCACTGATTTCCCTCACAGGTGGTCATAAGCTCATGAAAGCTCGGCTCTCCCAAGAAGGAGGCCGTCACTATTGTCGCATCCTTGTGCCGTCAACACCTCCTTGTACTGACCATGTTCCTTGTGGTTGTGCAGTTAAATCGTGACACGTGGGCCCAGGACACCGTGAAGGACACGCTGAAAAGCAACTTTGTCTTCTGGCAGGTGAGCAACTTTGAAGACTCTTTTGCCAAGTTGAACGTTCTCTCGTTTTGGGAAGGAAATCTTTCGCAAAAGAGCGTCGTTGATTCGTGTTCTCAGGCTTGAAGATAAGCCGTAACAGACCGAGGATCCATCTTTGGGATCGATGACCACGGTCGATGTTGTTTCATGATTGCTTCTGGCCTCATGGTTCTGCTGTTGCATGCCTAAAATCGGTGCTGCAGAATATTTGGAACAGTGTGCTTTCTTCCTTCCTTGAGTGCCACTGACTCAACGCCGTTTGTCATCCTCCTTGCACAAGTAGGGCGGTTTCGCCTTCGCTCCGAGCAGTTCGAAACCCAAGAGGTTTTCATCTTCAAACGTCTTGCGAATGTTTCTATTGCATCTGGGGAGATGCACCTCCTGCAGACACGCCACGGAACGCCAGATCCTAGGTTTTTGTGCTAGCCTTTGAATTGTGTGCATCGCAGCCGCATCAGGTTGGGGCAGAGTTCAAGATGCTCTGGCTCGCCTACTCGGTACCTCTGCTTACTGGCCTGCTTGTATGGAATATTTCTTGGTGGATTTAACGACTTTGGGTTCGTTCGGGTTTACCAATGCCCTTGCCACTTGTTGACGTCGTCGAAGGCAATGGCCAGAAGCGGCCAGAATGCCCTGTTGGTAGTGTTTTCGTGTGCAGCCGTATCTTGGTTCTTACATTTGAACGAGCAAGATCTGGTGAAACAGGGAAGCAATCCAGTTGACAAGACCCGGAGGGCTGAAAAAGATTGCCCTTCCTCGAAAACCCCTGGAACTGGGCTGATCTGGGAGCGGCGTTGACTAGTTTTCCGGACGCCCCTTGGCATGTGGATACACGGTGCTGACCACAAGCGTCGCTTTTCTGGGCTGATAGCATATGCGTGCCCCGCTGATAATTGCTCAACTACGTTTAGCTCGTGACAAGCTTTCCTCTCCTGTTGTTGGGGCTCCATCAATTAAAACATGCACTTTCATCAGCCACATGGGACGCCGCTTTGTTCCCTGCTCTGCTATTGGCTTGGTCCACAAATTGGCTTTGGTTGAAGTCCATTTTCGCATCGCAATCGGAGGTGGATGTGTTAACAGCTAAGGTGTCCAAGTCGTTGTTTGAAGGGTTTATGTCCAAGTCCATGTTTCGCAATTCTTGGTTTGAGCCCCGAATCGCCCTTTGTACGGTTTTCTGGAGCAGACGTGGGGACGAGCTCAATAACAGGAACGAAGGTGAAAAGTCAGGCCCGTTTGGATTCAAATGGACGTTTGCCTCCTCACAAACCTCCTCCTTGCTTTCGAGGCCTTCAAAGTCTCGGACTCTGTGTTGGTTGGATGCGGATCCAAGCCCCAAAGTCTGCTATGATGGTATTGGAGTCTGAAAGCTCCGCAGTTCTCACAACAAAAGCCCACCACTTCTCTGGAAATATTTGTATAGGTTATTACGCGGCGATTGACATGAAGGCAATAGTATGTGTCTTGCCAAACGGAGCCGAAGATCGGCCTATGCTTTTGATTGCCTCCCTTGTTTCAAGGCTTCCTCCATTTCTGGAATATGTGCCAGCATACTGTTTAGGCGCCCCCTCAATTGTTGTCCAGGTCTGGTTTTCACGGACGATATTACCACAGTGTGTCTAGCCCCATCATGTTAGATTGGGGCGAATTTGTGTTGCCTTTGACTTGGCAGTGACGATCAGGGCCTGACTTCAATGTGTCAAATTCTTCCCTATGATCCTGACGGCTCATTCTTTCTGCATATTTTTTTAGCTTTGCTGGTTGTGAAATCTTTCGACTGTTGCCCTTGAGAAAAGAAAAGAATGTTCAAAATTGCGCGGTTTGTATTCTTCGTGTGAGGAAGTTTGCGACGCATCAGTTAGCAACTATTAGCTCTTTCTTGAAGCTGAAGAGTTTGGATCTGCAATCACCGCAATGATGTATCTTGAACATCTACGTCTGGTCTGGATTTATGTTTGTCCACTTGCTACGTTGTGTCTTCATTGAGAGACGGTGCTGCTTTCAGCCTGAGGCTTTGACCCCCTGTGTTTTTCCGTCATGATATCAGGGCTGGCAGTCTTTGCAGTCTTTGCAGTTCGTTTATCTTCTGTCCTAAGGCAAGGAAGACACGCGGCCTTTGGTCCACCCTAACGGGGCTCAGCCAAAGGTAACAAGCCTCTCGGATTGCCGCTGCAAAGCTTTCTGAAAAAACCCTTGACCTTGAAGTTAGTTACGGATTTGTATGGCCTCCCTGCTCGTCGGCAAGGCCGATCAAATTATGGTACAAGAAAACTTCAGGGTTATTATAGTAGGTCTAATAAAAGGATCTGTGAAGCTTAGCTCGTCAATTGGTCTGAGCCCCAGATTTACACGTTGCTGGTCAAGGTGGTGAAAACCAGTTGTTCGTGTCCATGTGAGCGCAGTCTTGCGTGGCTGCCCTACTGCATGTCCGCATCGAATTGACACAGGTTGCAGTGCTAAGGTCTCGCTTTTAGGAGATGTTCTTTGGACTGTAAGACTCCAATTGGACCGTAGCCAACGCAGCACTGATTATGGAAGAGCCTGATATTCAGTGTCAACTTAAGAATTGTATGATGCTGGACCTTCGTTCCGAGCATGCGACTTTGAGATTGACTGACTGCTCAATCTTTGTGCGGACACTTTGAGCGGTGATTTGTGGGAAGTCAAACGTATAGGAGTTCGAAGCCCTGGTATTCACGGTTTATTCGATCATCTCACATCACAACTCAATTCTGAGAGGAAGGGCAGCATGTGCAGCTGTCCTCCAGTGAAGTATTCGTCTAATCCAAGCCACTCCGCATTCGCCACGATTTCTCAAGCTTACAATGAGTGAAAGGAGCGGGAGCTACAAATTTTCTTTTAAGCCGATAAGAATTGATAATTTGCTTCTTCTACCTTGATACTTCAACCTACGCGAGACCCAGGTTATGTTTGCTAATAGGCTGCTGCCATGTGGCACGCAGGTTGCGATGATCTGGAGAAGGGCAGCGAGGTCTTTTATTCCAGGCCCTTGGACTGTTGGTTTTGACAGGCCCTGAAACGCATTGCAAGTCTTTCGCTTACGAAGAAGTGCCACGTGTCCTTAGGTGCACGACAATATGGAGGAGGGTAGCCAGGTCTTGAGCTACTACCAGCTGTTCCAGGCCTTCCTTGCACTTCGACATTCAAGATTCTTTGGCAGGCTCAGAGAAGGCTTGGAACACCTTCTTTGTCAAACCTTCATTTTGTGTCTCAGGTGTAAGGTGTAACGGAGGCGGGCAGCAAGGTCTTGAGCTACTACCAGCGGTAACTCTTGCGCTGAAACATCCGCTTTTGCTCCGGATTGAGATTCTTCGCCACCTGAATCGGTCACGTCCTCTCAGGTGTACGACCACTCGGAGGAGGGCAGCAAGTTCTTGACCCACTCCTATGCCTTCCAGGGCCCTGTGACTCCTCTTTGTCATAGATTCTCCGGCAAGGTCGAAAACAAGCTGCATGTCTTTTGCCAATAGTATTCTTCCACGTGTCCTCAGGTGTACGATGACACTGAAGAGGGCAGCAAGGTCTTGACCTACTACCAGCTGTTCCAGGCGCCCGTGATTCTTGTCCTCGACCCGTTGACGGGGCAAAAGCGGCACGTCTGGAAGGGGTTCGTGGAGCACGAACGGTTAGTGGAGGTCAGTGTGACTCTCGACTTGTCGATTTGCAGGGCCGGTTGCTTCTTTGAGCAAGATTTTTGCCTTCAGGGGGATCAGAAGGGTGATACTGTATGTCGATAAAGCTTTGCATCAGAAATCAAGCTTGGAGAGTTAGGGGTTGCTTCTTTGCACCCCTTCTGTCCAGCTTGTCGGAACTGCCAATGTCTTTGCACGACTTGTAAGGAGTATAACTTTTCTTAACTGGCTTGCCTCGATCAAAGCCAATGATTCCAACCCGATTTCTCCACCCTGAAAGAGAGCTACTTTCTAGCATAGCCTTTGACGTGAATCAGGTGTCAGTTGTTAACCAGGTTCGACTTCTCCTCACAGGACTTGGTACCGTTTATGGACCGCGGGCCTATGGAACCCCAGGCCCCGACGAAGCGCCCGCGCCAATCGGGGGGGTCCGTTCCAGTGGAGTCTGCACCCCCCAGAGCGGCACCCCAGGAAGAGTCCGAAGAGGAGATGCTGCAGCGCGCGCTAGCGGCATCCTTGGAAGACACCGGGCGGCCGAGCGCCAGCGAAGCGGCACCGCCGACGTCAGCAAAGGGGAAGGAGAAAGTCGGTACGTCTCTGGTCGTGCTTCTTGCTTGACTTGTCGAGCAGGCTGCTTACTGAGACTTGTCGAGGGGGCTGCTTCCTGAGATTCATCGATGGCACAGGATGAACCGGCAGACAAGTAAGTTATTTGGTCTATCTTGTGCGTGGTGCCCAGCTGCGCAGGCGTTCATTGTGGCGGACACACATATGTTTTGTGAAGTACTTTCCGTCCAGCTGCTTTGGGCACCCCTTGGATCTTTGCTCTGGATACTTCACGGATTTTTGCGTTAAATACTTCACGGTAGGCCCTAGACACTGTTGGGAAAGGCTCATAAAAGACGTGTCATCTGAGCCCTTTTGGCCGCCTCTTCCGGACGACCCGTCAACTTCCGATTTGTCCACACGCTAGTCTTCTGATTGCCGGACGGCATTCTGCCGTCCCTGTCGTCACAGACCTTCATTGTCGGCATACAAACGCGCAATCTTTTCATCACCGCAGAGGAAGAGCAAGAACCGGTCGCCTCGTTTCCTGGCCGCCTCTCCCCGACGAGCCGTCGCCGTCCGATCCGGACTCGACGTGGGTAGCCTTCTGATCGCTGGACGGTATTCTGCCGGTCCAGTCATCACAGAACCCAGTCGTCTGCATACAAACGCTAAACTTGTCTATCACCGCAGAGGAAGAAGAACCACCCGTCGCTTCCGTTTCCTGGCCGCCTCTCCCCGACGAGCCGTCGGCTTCCGATTCGGACTCGACACGGGTAGCCTTCCGATTGCCGGACGGGCAGCGACAGCAGCGGCGGTTCCGGAAGAGCGAATCCCTGGCGGTCAGTAACCAGTCCTTCCTAATCTCACTCCTTTTTGGCTGTCGATTTCCATCCTTTCTGCACAAGTCATTGCTTTGTAACTAAGTAGTCCGTTCTGTCTGTGCGGTCCATTGTCGGTCCTGTTATGTTCTTTCTTCCTTGCCGGTCAGTAGTTGTCTCTTTCTGCTCTGACTCCCTTCCTTACCAATCCGTAAGCAGTCCCCTTCTCGTTTCCGAGGCTCGGGTTTGGCTCCCTTATTTCTTGTCCTTGCCGGAGTTTTTTGTATCAGCGTCTTGGCTCTCGATGCTCTGTCAGCAGATGTGAAAGACGTTCCTTCTGCAGGCTCTTTCTCCAGGGAACTTGGGTCGCGGGAATAGGACAACAAGCAACCAGCTTGCTTAGTAGAGAGGTGTCCGGGCACTGAAGAACGTCTTCCAGCGCCCCCTTGCTGTTGCTTGTACGATCAGCCCTCTCTCATCAGGCAGCACTGAAAGAGGGCTTTGACGTCTAGATTCAAACAAGGCTTTCCCAAAGACTCATAATTCAGAAACTTCAAGCTCGCAGATCTCGAAGCGCCACTGTGTCCCTCAGCTAGACTTTTGTGTGGTGTCTTCGCGGGACACCACCTGGCTCACTAGCTAGTGGCACAAAGCTCCGTTTGCGGTTTCGATCAGGGCTCCAGATTCTCGTCCTTTCACACGTGCTTGCTTTGCCCCGAAATCAGAAAGAAAACAGGAATCAGACAACGGTTTGACGTTATGTTTGAATCTAACAGTGGTCCCTTTACAAATTGGATGGTTTTCTTTTTGGCCGACAGGTACTTGGGGCATTTGTTGCGGGGCACGTGTCCGAAGCTGCGGCCGGGCGCGCGTTCAAGATGGCGGTCATGGGGGCCGGGCCGATCGACTTACGAAGCGACGCCTCAGTCGGAAGCGCTGGTGTAGGGGGGAGCATGCTTGCGGTGACGTGGGATAGCTAGGGTCCGGTGTCAGGCCAGGGTTATTGCTTGCAGATATGAGATGATTCACACCTAACAAACAGAAGATGCTGATTAGGTCTGATTGAGTCGGGCCGGATCGTGTCTTTTGCAAGCGTTCATTGGACGACCGAACATACCTTCGGCTTATTTTACCTTGCGGGGTCGACCGAACATGCTCTCGGCTTATTGTCCGTTACACTGCGAAAACGGTCTTGTACATGGTATTTCGGAGAGTCGACTCAACCGTTCGTTCTGATTTCTTCCGATACAGTGCGACTGTGTTTTGATTACCAGGAGTTCCCATCAGTGTCTCTAAGTTGTCAAGAGAAACAAAAACAACGATTTGAACGCATTGGACGAGTATGAAAGACATTTCTGCGAATGCTTGTGTATGGCAAGCTTAAGTAAAACTTCACTATTAGAACAAACGGGGTGCCTCAAGATTGACCGACTCCAGAGCTAGCATGATGACCGAGGGTCTGGTTGGTTGTGAACGGACTGTCTCTTGAAATGAGTCCGTGACGGTCGTGGCTCAGTGTAGTGCTTTCTCTCCTTCTTTTTAGGCAATGATGACTCTGCCAGCGGTCGGGCATCACGACCCCGACAAATAAGATGGCGAGTCTGAACGCCTGAAGTCAGTCAAAGTCTGAGAACGAACCTTTGCATTGTTACTAAGTGGAACTTGGGCTCCTGCTGACCTTAATTGCTGGCCTTGAACATGACACTTCACCCCGGCCTTCGCCATACCCCTGCCATACTCCTTTGTGGCTGTTGGGCTTCGTCCGAGTGTGCCTCCCCCAAGATAGAGCAATCCACACGTCTGTCTCTTGAATCGACGGCGGACCCTTGCGATTTAGTATGCTTCTTCATGAGAATTGGATTCCGAAGCTTAGGTGCCGGCTGTGAAGCTTTGGTTATGCTTGAACCGTACGGTTTATCTTCTCCCGTACTTTTAGATGCTTTCATACGGGCTGGCTCAGATAAGGCGCCTGCAAACTGTCCATATTTGACGGTTGCCTCTCTATAGGACGTCTGTTCAATGACTGTTACAGCGGGTAAACTTAAGGTACGAATATGAACATAGGGCTGTGAGCTGATGTAGCCACGCTAAGAGACATTTGACTCTGTGCTCCGGCACATGGCTCACTCCATTGTCCTGTCCAATATAGCCGCCGCTGCTTGGGTTTACAGTCCAACACAACCCATGCTTTTGTGAAATCTTATTGTTTCTGAGGAAAGGGTCTATCAGACTTTAGTACGGTCACAACCGGGAACAAGTGCTGGGTGCTGCGCTTCGTGCAAGGACACTGATTGTCCATTTTCAGCACTAACAAAAAACGATCGAAAGCTGTTACTTGTGACGCTTCAGGCAGGAAATCACCAACTCTCTGTTTCCTGCGTAGCCCACTCACATTCTCTAATAGCGACCCTGCACGTTCGTTGCTTTCAGCATAAGCTATCATTTCGAGAACCCTTTTTTTTCGGCAGTGATGGCCAGCAATACTGACTTTTATGTAGTCAGCGCTGTTGACTCGGTCCTGATGCCACGCGCCGGCACGCGCCATGAGGAGATCAAATCCCGGGGTGAAGTTTGACCTGCGGCTGTCGAATGCTTCAATTCTGCCGCTTGAGTATCTTGGCAGGTCGCTGAAGACGATTGCAGCAAAAGAGAGGATTCTTCTCTCGGTCAGGAAAAAGTATCTTCTGGTCGCCGCCACTACTTGCGGGCGTCGATTCGAAACAGTGAGGCAGCTGATCAGGATCAGAAGATCGGTGTTTGATCCGGCCACTTCGGTTTCTGTATATCCGGCTTTTTGGTCATTCAGGCCGGCATTCAATGACCAGGACGGAACCCGCAATCTGACCGCATGTACGCATAGCTAGTTCACGTTGCTGTGTGTCAGGCTGTCGTCGGTGCCTGTTGAGCGTCACTTGTGTCCTATCTTGGCTGCAAGGCTGTGCGACTAGATGCTGACAAGACGGTACCCGACCTAAAGAATCGACACCCGGTTGCAAACGAGTGAGCGGCTGCGAGGTTGCAAAGGAGCTTTCTCAGGTAGGGGCGCGCTGTTGACAGTCTGCCTCTCTCTTCAGCCTTCTGCCCTTGAGTTTGCTGACTCGTGTAGAAGGATTAACAGGTCAGACAACTTGATCGGAATCGAGGACCCCTCCAAACGGGACATGTTTCGATCACACTAAGACACATTGCGTTGCTGGACCCTCATCAGATGAAGGACACATTGACGGTGCACCCTTCAATGCTGTTTGTTTTGACGGACCGGCTTTCGCTGGGCACTCTTTGAAGCGTCTGGCCAGGACCGACTATCTCGCAGTACGTGGCAATGAGAAAGCAGTTCCCGGTTCCAACATGGCATGGAAATGTGGAATCACAGCGCCGCCGGGTGTTTGATCGCCAGAATAGTGCGTCACATCGAAAGCTAGGCGTTTTCCAGTCAGACTCCGTGTGGTACGCATTACCGCACGCTTCCGCTTCTGCTTAAGAGCAGAGATCCTATATGTCTAAGAACCATAGGCTTTTTGCCATAGACCAAAGCTATAGTAGCCGTTCCTTGGAGCATCGTGCGCGCGCTCTTTGAGCGTTGCAAACGGGTATAAGTCACTCAAAGTCTCTCAAAGTCACGACCTGTTTTCGTCTCAGCCTGGAGCTGGCGGCTGCTGCGTAAACCGAACGAGCCCCGCACCAAGCTTTCAAAGCCGGCTGCTGATAACTTAGCTACAGCGCACTCGTCCATCTCACAAACGTGATTGCGTGTCCTTTAATGATGAATGTCAACACTCGTGTTTGGCGCGTGTGGCTCGAGGCAATGAGGACACAAAGCAGATGACGTGCGTGTGACGACATCGCAGTCTGAGGTGGTTGACCTCCGAGCCAGCGTCTCCCTGTTTGGTTCTCGCCGCGTAGCCGACCGGTGCATCTTTTATGTAAGTGCAGCTTGGATTTTGGCTCAACTGCCCACAATCCGCAAAACTTCGGATGATGCGGTGTCAACGTAACAAGCTTAGGGCATTTATAACGGACGAGGATGTCACGGTGGGCTCGTTCCGGGTACGTCTTTCAATCTTGGCGTTCTGTGGTTGTGTTGTCTGACTTGGCCGAAGGTTTGTGGGGCAAACAAAGCTAACTTGAAAGCGACCGGTGAGCTCACCCGGTCGCAATCACGCTCTGCTTCTGCTTGCAGAGGTGCCGGCGCGGGTGGTCGGTCGATCTGTTCCTACTCGAAAGCCGGCAGCAAAAGATCCTGAGACGAAGCCACTGCAAGTCGGCTGCACACGCAATCTGAACGCAAGCATGAGTTTTCATCAGCTCTTCGAGACGATCCTCGTATGTGGTCGATGCTCTCCCAGTTCTGTCTCTTGAGAATCTATATGTACATCGTAGATCTAAGTCAACCTGTTCCCGGCTCCACGTGGCCACTCTGATTTCCTTATTCAACCCCGATATCACGGTCATGTTATGTAGACCTGCAAAGTTATCAGTAGGACTCGGATGACAGCGTTCCGTGATACTTACACAAGTTTCACTGGCTTCCTCGATCGTGGGCGGCAATGACGATCAATATCGGTCGTGGCCAGCAAGTCACGCCCGATCCAGCCGATCCGTCAGAGGCAAACGCTATTAAAACTTGCTTCCATTTTCTCCATTAGCATCGGAAGGTATTCCACAGGAGAATTGGCTGCTAACCAGGCGGACGACCAGACTTGACTCTTAGGTTGATGAACATCAAATAACAGCGATTTGACATTGTTTCGAGCCTGGTTACCGCCCAAGTCTGGTTATGGACATCGAACCACTTTCTAACCAACCCGGAGTAAGCCCAGACATCCTTGGTTAAGGGTCAAAACTTCGTGAGCTCGGCGAGGTGTCCGTCCGTTGCTTATAAGCACGTTGCACTGTGCATAACCAAGTCAGCCACGAAGCCGTCGCTTCTGATTGAAGCGTTTGGTTTGAGAGTCCTCTTCGCTGATATCAGATTGGAGATGCTGTTGTGTGGGGAGAACATTAGGCTCACCGTTGTGCTTCCCTGCTAGTTTGTGACTTCCTTGATCGAAAGCAGGCCGGTCTGAGAGTTCTGCCTTTATTTTGGAACTATAGTGTGACCGTGAGTGTGACCTGCGAGAGCTGCGGGTGTTCATCTTCTAACAAGTCCGAGCTGTCGTCATTGGTTCCGCGGCCGAGCCCTTTTAAACGGCAGAGTCACTTTTTGATTTGCTCTTGCTTCAAGAACTTTGACAGGAAGGTAACGTTTTCTTACCAGCGGGCACCGTTAATCTTCAAAAAAGCAAACCGACGCCTCTTTCCAATATTCCTTACTTCATCCCGTGTGTTTGATGAGGTACGCCTCCTCAAGAGACAAGCTCGACAGCGGCAATGATGACATGCCACGGTGCGTGATTCTTTGAGTCAAGGATCAGTGTCACTTCTGATGCCGCGTGCTTCTATATGTCTAGCGCCATTTTCTGCAGACCGATCGCGTCGGTTGCTGCGCGCGTCCTTACAGCTTGTCACTGACTTCTGGGCACGGTCGTACTGTTACTTCTTGCGCTCGTTCAAGTATCTGCTCCTTCCGACTTTAGTCCGAGCTAGACTTTTTCAGCCGCGCCACAAACGATAAGAGGAAGGATACCGGATTATCCGCCCCTGCCAGTGCTGCTCACCGGTATTCCGAATTCACGGTCATAATAGCAAGAATTCAAAGATTCAGCGGGGACGAAGGGACGAAATCTGTGAATCTGCTTCAAAGATAAAACCGCTCTTAGCTCTATGCCTCCTCAACCATTTGGTAGCCAACCCGCCTTTGATCAACAAGCCGAGCAAAAGGTCGGCGACCTTATCCAGGTTCCCGCGAGGTTTGGTCTGACGTCTTGTGCGGCCCGCAGAAAACCCGCACGATCTACGTAAGACATGTGCAGTTTGCTTTTGGTAACATAGTCGCGCGCGCGGGTAATCGGCCATTACATCTTCAAATACTCCAGTCTCACCAGTGCGTAGGTATTCTATGGCGTTGACAAATGGACGTTACGTGTATCCCCTTCCCGAGATTCCCGGCAATGACAATGTTCATGGCCTGCTGGTCATTGGAATTCCGCCGGGAATGTTTAGAGGCCGGCGCTCGAATCAGCTTTTGCGGGAACCGGTTGCTCTTCTCTGCGAACCGGCCTCAGACCGGGGCTTCCCGTTCGTCCGCCACTTTTCGATCCGGAGCGTAATGCTCCTGTTTGGCCCCAATTCGGTTCCGGTCTAAAGCCAGGATGCATGCAATGGGTACAACGAA